TCTCGGAAAGTAACACATTTTTGCACTTGAAAAATGCAGCCATGCCTAGTGCTGACAATATATGACACCAAAAAATAACTTAAACGTTTAGTTGCTACTGGTGATTGCGTTTGTCTTATCCTCAGTGTACATAAACATGACGTTAGCGACAAACATTTAACGAAAAATGTAGTTATTGAGTTGAGTTGGGTTTTGCGTCACATCGGCATTATTCCAGCCGTATAGTGACGAGAACAAGTTTGCATTAATAAATATTAATAAGCATTGCCATGAAGGTGACATAATCCCACGCCGCAAATAATCAAATCAAACTTAAAAAGTAATGAAAGTGAGTTAGTTTAAGATGAAGTTAGATGTCAACAAAAGCATGACCAGTCACCCTGCACCTTCCCAAAATGATGCTTTGTGTCAAATATGAAGAAAATACAGTGAATAGTTTGTATGATGTATCTCTGATAAGGTGAACATGTACGTTAACAAACTGAAATCTTCAAAGTGTCGCCGTGACCTTGAAAATTATGTGAAGGTCACCAAGATCGACTGGGCCCTGCATCGTACCTAGATACAGTTTGGTGTCAAATATGAAGAAAATCCAGTGAACGGTTCTTGAGATACCTCGCTGACAAGGGTAAAACGTTAAAGTCCCATTGTGACCTTGAAGGTCAAGGTCACCAAACCTGACTGGGACCTTTCGCATACTGTGATAAACCTAGGTACCAAACACGAAAAGAATCTAGTTAACGGTTCTTAAGATATTCAAATTCGTACGTACGTACGAACGGACGGACGGACGGTCGGAGCCTAATACTATATCTCCCTCTTCTCGCTAAACTCGCGGCGGGGGATAAATATATATCTATATCTCACACATGTACTTTAGAAAGTTTGAGACTGATAAAGCATTACTTGAGACAAGCAGTATAATGAAGGTGTTGACGATGATGAGTTGGAGATTTTACGTGCGGTTTCCCGACATAATGCGTACTTCGCCATGGTACTGCCAGAATAGCATTGTCGTAGTGTTAACCGTCACTGTCACCACCACATCTTCTCATTTCCTTAAAACAGGAACACAGGAATACCTCTAAACATGTATCAACCAGAATGTTCAATACAGTAACCGCACTTACGTTATAGCAGTTACAAATTCTAAAACTGCTCATTTTACGGAAAAAGCACTGGCTGGAATGGAATACGACAGAAGGTATTACGCATTTCATTTAATCATATAACGTATGCAAACTTATTTGTAACTGATGAATCTGCCAAGAACATTATCAGCGTTTAGAGATATGTTGTCGTTCAACATTAGGACTCATTAGTCTGCGCATGACCGGAAATGTGTGAGCTGCCATTTGCTTCATCTCTCATAGCGAGTGCCTTACGTTTGAGTAGGCTTATTTCAAGAAACTCATCATAAGGTAGGAGGGTTTACAGATTAATATCATGTGCAATGTTTTTACTAATCGTCAGTCATAATCTTTACAAACGAAATCTCACACGGTGCAGATTAAATCTGATATCATATACAAATTTGACTTTCAATTAAATACTATAAAGTTGACAATGAATGAAACCATGATTTATTCAAATGGTGTAATAAGGTCTTTAGAAATTTATGTATTATCAATACTTGAAATGAAACACCCGCTCGGTTTTGGAAAATATTTATCAGTACTTGTACAACCATGAGGCAGATCTATAGCAAGCGGACAATCATATGGATTTATGAAATCACAGGACCTTTGCAGGATCATATCCACTTCACAAATACCCAGTGGAACAAACAAATCAAAAGCCAACTACAAAATAGCACAACAATGTGATTGTGATGTGTGTGTCGTTCATGAAATTGTCGCTTCTGTTAAAAAACAATGAAGACATTAACAAGATTTGTAAATAACAGTATCATAAACACATAGCCATGACACATGATAACTACAATTGTAGATTAAAAAGCAGATGTGTTTACACAGACATTACGTACAGCCTTAAGACGCCATGAGTCGAACATGAATACATCTTGTGACTGATCCCAAGACCACTTTTACTTTAAGATATTGATAACAATATTACCAACATTTGTTAGATATAGATATGGTATAATAATCATTTACTTGTGCAGTTATTTTATCAATCCAAACTAAATTCAACCACGTGGGCTTAAAACAGTCACTGACATAGGCCACCGAGCCACGTCCTTTTAAAGGCTAATAATGTTTTCACATAAACACACTGCTGTACATACCAGATGATGATTCTTCTTTTTGCACTACCATTTCAAGAAAAAGATTTATTAATAAGTTTACAATTTCTGTTTTAGAAGTGCGAGATTTATTGATCTTTCAAAATATTCTGATAGATATAACTAGTCTCGTTAAAGACTAGTTTCAAGAATTAGATGGTTGTTAACAATAGATCAAATTATGTCTCCACCATTTTCTCAGAAGTAATTGCTTCGTTGTATTTGTGCCCACCTCGACAATCGTTCTTATATTACATCAATACAGTATACACATATCTTTAATGTTCTAACCACTTCATGTATACACCTGGGCATTAATAAAGCACCATTAACCTTTTCAGTAGAAGTAAGAAAACATTACATGTCGTTGCTTATGCTTTGAAAACCAAATGCCGCTTTGCATTTTACTCTGATTTCACACACACACACACACACACACACACACACACACACACACACACACACACACACACACACACACACACACACACACACACACACACACACACACACACACACACACACACACACACACACACACAAAAATGGAAAGTAGGTAACAGTTTAATTGTAACTGGAGAGGAATACATAAAATGTACAATGCCAGGAAATGTTATTATGGAATTATTGTGTGTTTTAACATCTCTAACTCACTCCAAACCGTACTTATCTGACAAGAAGTTATGACATGAACAATATGTGATAAGTATGATAAACAGGTTGATGTGTGCATAAATCAACCTCTTTATTAATGCTGCTCCTCATAATACACATGCAGCTCTTACAGTAGCACATACCAAGCACATATGCTACATATCAGAAGCTCAAATGCTTACTGGCATAGCTTGCCATTGGTTAAAATATGAACAGACTTCTAATAAAAAGTACCTGATATTTATCATCCCTAAAAAAACGTTTATTCGGAGATTATTGGTTTTTTTTATTGAATCTAAATGATATCTTTGCCAAATGTATTTCAAATTAAAAAATTGAAAGGTGCCATGGTCATTTATAATATCTGAGATGTCTTTCGTCTTGGTTGTTTCTATTCCCAAAAGCTTCCTCCACTACAAAGACTGTTGTTAAAAAGATTAAAAAACAACAGGTTGTGACTTTTCAACAGAAAATTGGATATTTTTGGAAATGGGATAGCACCAAAAAGAAACTAGGAACCACTCTCACATGACAATGTGTCAGGAAGCAGGTCAATGACCGTACAGAAGTCAGATGGGTTTGCCATAACTGACATTACTTTGAATCATAATATAGCCATAATGATATATTGTTTGTTGTATATTTTACATATCGTTGTATATGCTTTAAAAAACCAAATTCCGCATGCTGAAATCGAAACTGTTGCACTCTGATTAAAAGGAAAGCGAAAACCCTAGCTGTCGCACAGTTCTCAAATTATTATTGTTTGTTTTCATGTATCTACCTTTGTCCAAACCGTACCTATCGTGCCATAATGTAATGACTGCATTTGTGCACAGGAAAGTAATGCTTCAGCATATAAATGACACATTTTCTTATCAGATTGGTAAATCTTCCAGCAAAATAACTCATATATCCAGGATCGAGCTGATTAAGCACACATTACTTCAAATCACAACAAAAAGATGAAACAACAAAGATACATATAATAATTAAACCCCAATGATGTAATTTCCTCACTAAGTACCAAGCTATGATGTTCGTCATGTACACAGCACGTGGTTTGATGTTAACCATGCTGTTACACAGAAAATAAGTTGTATATTTGTACATCAATGAGATAACTACTTGTCGCCACTTAACGGACAGTCTAGCAGCAAAGATGACTTGGCAGTAAATGTGAAAAACTGGGCAACTGGTCCCTACACAGCAAATAAACCCTGCACTGATATAGTAGAAAACATCAAGCACAAATAATTCCCTCCATAAACATTTTGTTACATAAAGGTCTCGCAATGCATTAAACGTAACAAAGCCCCTAAAAATAAAGTCCCCATCAGTAAGTGCTAAGTACTTAAAGCTGCTAAGTGTATTTATTATATCTTAAATGAAAGAAACAAAGTTGAATTTTTGTGATATTTTGTTTGCATATATCCTCACTCTTGGGTAATAATATTATAATGATTGTTGGCTATATATGTACCTCGCCATGTGTACAGGCATGTGTCTCATAGAGCTTAATTGTATTGGTTTTTGACTTAATAAAATCTGACACTCTTGACTTGACTTGCTCAAGACAGGATTTGTGGTTAGCCGCCGATACAGTTAACAGGTCTCTGCCTACACACTATTGTGAATGTTTGTGTGTTATATGGTCAGCTACGTATAACTATCTTTAGGCTTATATAGACAAATATATTGTTTCTTCACTTATTTATGCTGAACGTATTCAAAATATACTTCATCGTTTTGAAACGAATCCTTCCAACATGGTGACTGCAAAGACCAACACGGGTTGGATTTTATCACATCATATTTAGAGGTTCCAATCGTCCCTGGTATGGTGATCTACCTTCAGTTGTTGGCGATCTATAGCCCAATTTTATGTAATGTCCTAAATAGTATATAACTTTACGTTACATGCTAGGTTTAAATCTGTAACTGATATATACTTGTTGTTTCACTGTCTTTTGGCAACAGATTTTATAAAATATAATTATAAAGTATTTACTGTTTAAGTCACGATATGGCTGAAATATTGCTTAAGTGACACCACTTCCAGATTACTGATTCAAACAAGGATGTTGACATCACGTGATACAAGTTCTGCAGTCGACGGGTCACAATATGGCGACAAACCTTCGTGTGCAGAGTGGGCTTGGCTTCATACACTTGTAAAACATCATCGCCATTCATGTAAACACCAGGGTGAAAACCTAAACATTTGATATATCTTCAGGTAAGGAACCCTGACGTTTTGTTAACTAAATGTGTAGGTATCCGGCATGATAACCGCCATATCATTCTTCGATCTGACACACACAGGTATTATTATCGTCCATGTATACACGTTTAGGCTGCGGAACAACATTAATCGAGCAATAGTATTTTTAAACTGACCTGATCGTGAAAACCCTCGCTCAGTATTCATAACCGTGAAAATGTCGTTTACAGTGCGGTCAATAAAACAATAACCTCATTCCAAAGTCACAATTTGACACACCTCCTGACGAAAACAGTATACAGGTTCGGCGGACGATAATTATATCAATAGCATTTACCTGTAAAGCGCAAGATTAGCACTAATTATTGTTTTGTGTTTGATATGAATCAATGATACAAAAGTTTTACGTTTTCGGTGGCAGTCATGGTTTTCTTTCTGAAGTATAGATTACTTCATCGTATGTGAATTATTTGGAAATACTACATCAATACCCTAGTCCACTTTGTACACAGGTGTCAATCATGTGGATGCTTGTGATGTGTCACTTCACTCAGGCAGTCAGTCGCTTTAACTGTCGATGTGAGGATGTGTAGAGAGCTTTTCCTGTTTTGAGATGGATAACGTCAGCAAAAGAATTTGTTTAGTTTTGTGATTTTTATTCACATCCATGAACATCATTTTACAAACACAGAAAGGGATTGATATTGCAAACATTGTGATCGAATTATATTGTCCATGTATTATGTACTTCAACAAAAGAAAGCCAGTGTTTTTGTCAATAAATTATTCATTTGGTAAAACTATATGTTTTGAACAGATTCTATTTGACTTCACATCACAAAGCTGATAACGGTAGGTTATTTACAGTAACATGTTACACAAATCATGCACATGTTGTGGACAAACTGAATATATTGTTTCACTTGGATAATTATTTAACCCATGATAAAACGTTGTCAGCCGTGGCTTGAACATTTGTAAAAGAAATTGAATAACTCATTATCACCATATGTTCAAACATGCAGTTGAACCCACTGACCATATGTTCAAGCATGCAGTTGAACCCACTGTATCAACTACATTTACTGTGTGCATTTCTGAGTATCATTTCATACAACTATGAAAACCACTTGAAAACATGTTATTGTCATCATGGTGACTGATTCATGTAATCAAAATTAGAGTTCTGTCAGCAACAACTAAGTGTATCCTTTAAGTGTACAATGATGATGAATGTAATATATGTGTACATGTCTTTGATTACTTCAATAGTTAACTATATGCCCCACATATCATATGAACAAACATCCTTCTTGAGCAAATCTCGTATTGCCCCCGTAGTACATATGTGTTCCAGAATAGCAATAGTTGTATGGATAATTTCTGGATAGTTGTATGGATACAATAGATGCAGTCTTAGAATCGTCTGTCTCTTTACCAATTTCCTGGGTAGTGGCGTAAAAAAATCTGTCGAATGAGAGTTCTGTTTCATATGTGAGTGTGGGTCCTGGTACGATGCTCATATGACAATGTTATCAACCAAACATGACCTCCAGAGTGGGCACATATGGGATACATCTGTGATAATATTAATATATGGTGTTTAGTTTTTAAACCATAATAAGTAAGATGAATTATGTAAATATGTACTAAAGTAATAAGTATATGTTACACTACATTTGTCAGTGGACTAATGTGAACATGTTGACCAATAGATACTGTACTGTTAAGTACACAGTTAACATCTGTAGGATATACGCCAACTCAATGAATTACGTATGTATTCAACGTATTTGTCTCCGTCCCTCTCTTTCTCTCTCTCTGTCTCTGTCTCTGTCTCTCTCTCTCTCTCTCTCTCTCTCTCTCTCTCTCTCTCTCTCTCTCTCTCTCTCTCTCTCTCTCTCTCTCTCTCTCTCTCTCTCTCTCTCTCTCTCTCTCTCTCTTACACACACGCTGTACTTACTTGAACACTGAATATCCAAATACTTTTCATCTCAGAACGAAATAAGCCAGCCAGTAGCTTCGAGAATTTAAGGAGTGCCCTACTTGACCCTGTTTAAAATTCATGCCCCCTAAAAGCGCGATATCAAGCGTGTCTGCACAGTTATTTAAAGTATTTCAGATGCTATAGAAATGTAATCGCCACCACACAAAGATCCCGCAGCTAGTACGACTGACGGCTTCTGTATGGTTTACGTTCACTTCAAATACTCATAGTAAACATTGCAGATCAGCTACGCGTAACATATGCACCATATAGCGTCATAATTGTTGAACATCAATATCTTTAGTGCAAGGTGTAATAAACTTGAGATGATTTGTCGTTACACTATGGAATTGCCATGTATGCACGTTAACCATACCATGAAGTATATTTTATAATGTTCACTTTAATTTATTTTGGTCAGACACGATTAATTTTAAAGGGTATTCCTTGGTATTTCCATCGCCATGACAATCGAGAAGTCACATGCCAAGGGTCTGTTACAGCTTTTGGAGAGAAATACTAGAAAGTTCAACGTAGATGCAAGAAAATACATGGTCTTCATTACCTATCGAAGCAGATTCCATTTGGCATGAAGCGAATAACATAGCGGTGGAAATTAAATGAATGCATCACTGAAAATAAGTGATGGTACCAGGTGTTGGCCTAAAGGGTAATTCCACCATTCACACAATCTGCTGTAACCGTTTGTTGAAATATGCAGAAAGGGAACTTCTAAAGCGGACAAGACCATCAATCGTAATTACAAATAGCTCTTTATGTCACGAGATACCCACGATTAAAACTCCAAGTCAAGTCGTAACAAGCCACGGTTAATCATGCTTGAATAAGAAATAATTCTATATTTCATAATTCTGGAGGAAATCGCCTTTGATTCAAAGAGTAAAAGACTTCTAAACATTCCCACCCACTGGTGACAGATCAAACATATTTCCCACACGCGTTTCATTCACCAACAGGAAGTAGCACCTCAGCACCTTTCACTTCTACACAGCAACCAAAGTTCAAAATCAGTAAGTGCACTTTCGTGGCCCTGGACTTCTGCTACCCCAAGTGATCGGTTAGCCTACAGGCTACACGACAGAAGTACTGTTGTACAGTATGGGCTTAAACATATAGTACACATATTGTTGTAAGTTTGTGAACGGCGTGTGCTCCTGACAGCACAGGATATACTTATCCATTTTGCAAAAACCTGGCGTTATCACTGATTGTGTATGATCATTCACATACTTTTCGCGCTATTTTGTGATTCCCAATGAAATCTGTTTCGTCCGGTGGTTAAATATCATGTACTTGGAATAAACATTGTACACTGCACGTCAGAAAGTCAGTGATGTGGCAAGTCAATTTACATGTAGTTCCAAATGAAACATGTTTAATTGATGACATAACGACATCGGGGAAGGTAACCTGCACACAGGGATTGTATGTCTCTCTCATGGCAATCTGTCGGTTTGAACGTTGACTAAGGGAGGCTACTCTTACCCTAACCTATGTGACATCACGTTTGTTTGAATACTGGTCTCCTGTCCTAAGCTGGTCACAGGTTTACAAATTGTGGAGTCAGACGTACACACAGCGACAACATAAACCATGGTATCAAATCGGACATATTTTGGCTGAATTCAGCGGTCCAAATCTGGCAAAGGACTAGTCGCAGAGGTCTTCCATCAAATCCCGCTCGGCTAGTCTGTATCCTCACTAAATCACTTCTAAATTCGTATATCGAAAGCCTTCAACATTTGTATCAGCTATGGCCTAGTAAGACACGTATATCCAGTATATTAGACTATTGTTTTGATCGACTCGATCGCCGGTTGACACAATCACCTACACAGGCTTCCATGCCGCCAGCACAGTATCTTTGCCTCAGGCAGCCGCCATGTTGCGATTTGCCATATCTTACACTATCAAGTCAAGAAATTGTATATATTTTTCAGCTGTTTTAGTTTTGACGAGTAGATAAAATGGGTATTTTTTTAGGAAACATCCAAAAACGCTAAAACCTATTTCTGTTTGCGTAGTCATCGAAGCAGTCCGGGGAGCTACAGCGACACAGTCACAGTTATGTATAGATATGAGTCTTCCTGCACCTCAGTATCGCAGCTGTAGTAGAATAACTATAGAAGTATGCCACTATGTATTTGGTCCACCGAAAGGCTTGAAACATGAGAAATGCCCGTGATAATTGATATGCAAATTATCCTAATGCGCCTGAGTGTGGATACTGAAAGTAGTCCCTACTTGACCTTTCATATTTGCATCTCTTTCTGCTTATGACCCCAACATATGTCGCTTTATCCTTTTGCTTTATCGCAGTATAAAAACGTATGCTTATAAATATATACCTTATACTTATATGCCTTGTGCTTCAGGTAAAGCATGGCCCTACCAGAGGATGTAGACGATGCCGACAGAAATCAGGAAGCAGTGACTGGTGAGTTAGGCTACAACGTTATTTCATTATCCCGAACTTCCTTACAAAGATAACAAAATATCCATGGAGGAATTTGTTTTGTAATATGACCACCGCCTGCTTGGAGAGAGTGAATGAGTGAGCAAGTGATTAGGGTTTCACGCCGCCAGTAGCATTTTCCCCAGCACTATGCCGGCAGGGGACACCAGTATTGGGCTTCACACATAGTACTATCCACGTAGGGAATCGAACCCGGACCTTCGTCGTGACGAGTATTAATACCCAGTGCGATGTTCTTTATTAACAAAATGAAATTAACAAAACATGATAGGATCTCTGAAGGCTAAATACAATATTATCTCATGAGTTAAAATGAGCAGTGTGTCAGTCCTATATCGACGAGTTTGAATACTGATATAAGTATAAAGTACTTAATAAATGACATTTAATTCATGCTGATTACATTATCTTCCTTTCATTTACTGATATGATGTTTGTGTAGGTAATGGCACTGCTGGAGGAGCCCGAGATGGCCGTCACCCTATATCGACCACGGATGCATTTGCTGGTGAGCTGCCTGAAGGCAGTAATGCTCACACACTTTCTTGTCAGGCTGTACTAGGTTTAATTGGTCAGAGAGTAACATCTGTCACTGGTTCAGAGGACCTGGACGTATTCAGCAAGAACTCAGTCGCGCAACAACTGGGAAGCCTTAGCATTTCTACACAGGGAGCTATTACACAAAATGTTGAGAAGGACAATGAGAACGAGCATGCTAATGAAGTGGCATCAACTGTCAGAGCTAGAGAATGTTTTGCAAGTTCGACAGAAAACCCAGATGAAGCTCTAACCGCTCCGTCACTTTCACTTGACAGTTTGAAATCGAGCTTGCCTCCGGCCTCAGTACAGAGAGATACTATTGTAGTGAGGAAAGGTATGGAGGATGATTCCAAGGTCAAGGGTGCATGTGCCACAACGGAAAGAGGATTTCAGTGTGACATGAGCTACTTTGGTGAAACCAAACAGCATCAACAGCACCAACATCACCAAGACTTGACATCTGGCTATGTTAGCGAATGTACACAAACGCAAACGAACGGCAGGTTGACCAACAGCCATTGTCGGTCCAGGGAGAGCAGGGTGAACACTATTTCTTGTCGTTCAAAAGAGAGCAAGCCAAAGAAATCCAGAGAACGATGTACATCAAATTCTGAGTTCCTACAACTGTCAGCAGAAGGGGTTAAAGAGCTCTTGCTAATGTCAGGCACCCAACGTAAAGCGGTGCATAAGGACTATCACAGTTTTGTGTGGAGACTCCAGTCATTCAAAGACTTCAGTTGTGTTTACGGTGTGAAGAAGGATATCCTAGCCCTTGCAGGGTTCTTTTACTCAGGTACTAAACACCATAACCAAGTGTCGTATTTCCATTTGAATGCCGGATATAATGAATGTTTTACCCTTTCAGTAATTTTGCCATTACGATTACACCATCACATGCATATGAGCAACTAAATACCAAACACATTGATTCCAAAACACAAATCCAAGAGAATAGACAGTAGATTATCAGCCACGATGTAAATACAAATATAATGACCGATCTCTTTTCCTTCTGGATTGCAGGGTTTGGAACAGTAACATGCTATCACTGTGGGTGTTCCCCGAGGATCTGGACAGAAGGATCTGATCCCAAACATCTGCACTGGCAATGGGCCCCAAAATGTAGATTCATCCGTCCCTTTGCGAAGAGGTTCTCGTGAGATAGTTGATATCCAAACTGCTGACTATGGATGGATGCCATACAGTTTGTTTCAGACAGGAAAACAAGTATATAACTCTTTAGGGTCCATATATGGGGTTCCATGCCATTGTGAAACGACATTTACATTTCAAAAGGATACCACCTAATGATGGCAAGAATATCATAGATATTTACAATAGATATAAACTTGATTATTCCGCTTATGTGTTCTGTTACTGCTGTAATATTCTAGCTTCACTGTATGCGAACAACAATGTTTGTGAATATTGAGGAATCGTATTGCACTGTAGCTTTAACAAGATATGTTACATTTTATCTGCATGAACATTAGCCTATGGATTTGTAAGCTCGATATTCGTAATATATTCCTGTTCATTTAGCCGCAATAAATTTATTAAATTGTTTCTGTTTTTATGTTGCTATATTTTACGGGCGTGATAGTGCTTAGTCTACCAATTCGGTTACAAGCCTAATTGCATCGCTTGCAAACACATGATTACAGCCTATATATCTGGAACGAAGAGCATGGCTTTACTTTTCCTCGAAACATATCGGATACATGCATGAGCAGCAGTTCATATATTCAAATTTTTACACTCGTTCGTTTATTTGTTAGTCTGTATTACGTTCATCCGTTACTCAGAGCCACAAACTAATGCACATTTTAATGTAAGTGAGTGAGTTTAGTTTTACGCCGCACTCAGCAATATTCCAGCTATATGGCAGCTGTCTGTAAATAATCCAGCATATCTGGCCGAGGTCCAGGGACTGTCGACCTTCCCATTCAAGAAGCAGTTCTCTCGAAATTAATATGAGCAGAATAACAATGTAGCAAACCTCTACCTTCAGTGACAATAATGTAAGGCGAATTACAGTGTGGCAAATCTCTACCTTTAATAGATGGATGTATGTTTGACCTGAGGTGACAGTAATGTAAGGAGAATTACACTGTAGCAAACCTCTACCTTCAGTAGATGGACGTATGTTTGACCTGAGGTGACAGTAATGTAAGGAGAATTACAGTGTAGTAAACCTCTACCTTCTGTAGATGGATGTATGTTTGACCTGAGATGACAGTAATGTAGAGAGAATTACAGTGTGGCAAACCTCTAATTTTAATAGATGGAGTTTGTTTGACCTGAGGTGACAGTAATGTAAGGAGAATGACAGTGTGGCAAACCTCTACCTTCAGTAGATGGATGTATGTTTAACCTGAGGTGACAGTAATGTAAGGAGAATTACAGTGTGGCAAACCTCTACCTTCAGTAGATGGATGCATGTTTGACCTGAGGTGACAGTAATGTACAGACGTAATGTAAGGAGAATTACATGGTGGCTTCCCTCTACCTTCAGTAGATGGATGTATGTTTGCAGTGTAGCAAACCTCTACCTTCTGTAGATGGATGTATGTTTGACCTGATATAACAGTAATGTAGAAACGTAATGTAAGGGGAATTAGCCCTGTGGCTTCCCTCTACCTTCTGTAGATGGATGTATGTTTGACCTGAGATGACAGTAATGTAGAGAGAATAACAGTGTGGCAAATCTCTACCTTAAATAGATGGATGTATGTTTGACCTGAGGTGACAGTAATGTACTGAGAATTACAGTGTGGCAAATCTCTACCTTTAATAGATGGATGTATGTTTAACCTGAAGTGACAGTAATGTAAGGAGAATTACAGTGTGGCTTCCCTCTACCTTCAGTAGATGGATGTATGTTTGACCCGAGGTGACAGTAATGTAAGGCGAATTAAAGTGTAGATGGATGTATGTTTGACCTGAGATGACAGTAATGTAAGGAGAATAACAGTGTGGCAAACCTCTACCTTTAATAGATGGATGTATGTTTGACCTGAGGTGACAGTAATGTAAGGCGAATTACAGTGTGGCAATTCTCTACCTTTAATAGATGGATGTATGTTGGACCTGAGGTGACAGTAATGTAAGGAGAATTATCCTGTGGCTTCCCTCTACCTTCAGTAGATGGATGTATGTTTGACCTGAGATGACAGTAATGTAGAGAGAATAACAGTGTGGCAAACCTCTACCTTTAATAGATGGAGTTTGTTTGACCTGAGGTGACAGTAATGTAAGGAGAATTACATTGTGGCAAATCTCTACCTTTAATAGATTGATGTATGTTTGACCTGAGATGACAGTAATGTAGAGAAAATTACAGTGTGGCAACCTCTACCTTTAATAAATGGAGTTTGTTTGACCTGAGGTTACAGTAATGTAAGGAGAATTACTCTGTGGCTTCCCTCTACCTTCAGTAGATGGATATATGTTTGACCTGAGGTGACAGTAATGTAAGGAAAATTATACTGTGGCTTCCCTCTCCATTCAGTAGATGGATGTACGTTTGACCTGAGGTGACAGTAATGTAGAGAGAATTACAGTGTACCAAACCTCTACCTTCAGTAGATGTATGTATGTTTGACCTGAGGTGACAGTACTGTAAGGAGAATTACATGGTGGCTTCCCTCTACCTTCAGTAGATGGATGTATGTTTGACCCGAGGTGACAGTAATGTAAGGAGAGTTACAGTGTGGCTTCCCTCTACCTTCAGTATGTGGATGTATGTTTGACCTGAGATGACAGTAATGTAGAGAGAATTACAGTGTAGCAAACCTCTACCTTTAATAGATGGAGTTTGTTTGACCTGAGGTGACAGTAATGTACTGAGAATGACAGTGTGGCAAACCTCTACCTTCAGTAGATGGATGTATGTTTAACCTGAGGTGACAGTAATGTAAGGAGAATTACAGTGTGGCTTCCCCCTACCTTCAGTAGATGGACATATGTTTGACCTGAGGTGACAGTAATGTAAGGAGAATTATCCTGTGGCTTCCCTCTACCTTCAGTAGATGGATGTATGTTTGACCTGAGATGACAGTAATGTAGAGAGAATAACAGTGTGGCAAACCTCTACCTTTAATAGATGGAGTTTGTTTGGCCTGAGGTGACAGTAATGTAAGGAGAATTACATTGTGGCAAATCTCTACCTTTAATAGATGGATGTATGTTTGACCTGAGGTGACAGTAATGTAAGGAGAATTACACTGTAGCAAACCTCTACCTTCAGTAGATGGACGTATGTTTGACCTGAGGTGACAGTAATGTAAGGAAAATTATACTGTGGCTTCCCTCTCCATTCAGTAGATGTATGTATGTTTGACCTGAGGTGACAGTACTGTAAGGAGAATTACATGGTGGCTTCCCTCTACCTTCAGTAGATGGATGTATGTTTGACCTGAGGTGACAGTAATGTAAGGAGAGTTACAGTGTGGCTTCCCTCTACCTTCAGTATGTGGATGTATGTTTGACCTGAGATGACAGTAATGTAGAGAGAATTACAGTGTAGCAAACCTCTACCTTTAATAGATGGAGTTTGTTTGACCTGAGGTGACAGTAATGTACTGAGAATGACAGTGTGGCAAACCTCTACCTTCAGTAGATGGATGTATGTTTAACCTGAGGTGACAGTAATGTAAGGAGAATTACAGTGTGGCTTCTCTACCTTCAGTAGATGGACATATGTTTGACCTGAGGTGACAGTAATGTAAGGAGAATTATACTGTGGCTTCCCTCTCCATTCAGTAGATGGATGTACGTTTGACCTGAGGTGACAGTAATGTAGAGAGAATTACAGTGTGGCAAACCTCTACCTTCAGTAGATGTATGTATGTTTGACCTGAGGTGACAGTACTGTAAGGAGAATTACATGGTGGCTTCCCTCTACCTTCAGTAGATGGATGTATGTTTGACCCGAGGTGACAGTAATAGAAGGAGAGTTACAGTGTGGCTTCCCTCTACCTTCAGTATGTGGATGTATGTTTGACCTGAAGTGACAGTAAGGTAAGGAGACTTACATGGTGGCTTCCCTCTACCTTCAGTAGATGGATGTATGTTTGACCTGAGGTGACAGTAATGTGAGGCGAATTACAGTGTGGCAAATCTCTACCTTTAATAGATGGATGTATGTTTAACCTGAGGTGACAGTAATGTAAGGAGAATTACAGTGTACCAAACCTCTACCTTCTGTAGATGGATGTATGTTTGACCTGAGATGACAGTAATGTAGAGAGAATTACAGTGTAGCAAACCTCTACCTTTAATAGATGGAGTTTGTTTGACCTGAGGTGACAGTAATGTACTGAGAATGACAGTGTGGCAAATCTCTACCTTCAGTAGATGTATGTATGTTTAACCTGAGGTGACAGTAATGTAAGGAGAATTACAGTGTGGCTTCCCTCTACCTTCAGTAGATGGATGTATGTTTGACCTGAAGTGACAGTAATGTAAGGCGAATTACAGTGTGGCAAATCTCTACCTTTAATAGATGGATGCATGTTTGACCTGAGGTGACAGTAATCTAAGTAGAATTACCCCGTGGCTTCCCTCTACCTTCAGTAGATGGATGTATGTTTGACCTGAGGTGACAGTAATGTAAGAAGAACTATACTGTGGCTTCCCTCTACCTTCAGTAGATAAACGCAGCCGATTTTTAGTTTAAATCAATGTTTTTGAAAGAGGTGGAAGGATGAGTAATGTTATGCATCACATAGTATAAAACAGTTATTTGAAAACGTCGGTACACCCACACCCACACTACCCTACCCACCTCTCCCTCATTGAGATATATCAACGGGTACTGTTCGGTTTGAACTGGTTACTAATGCCTACATACTTGTCTCTGCTACAGACACCGTCTTACAGACAAAGCCTTACAGAAAACTGTTGGAAGATTAAAGAAAACAGATAAATGCTGTACGTGTTATAATATATTCTACACTTACTTGTATATCTCACGTTAATCCAAACACCATGCTTTGCATCATTAAATAATAAGCATCAGCTCTAAGTTTTGTGTGAGTATTCACAGTCACGTCCTGATTGTATTACACATGGGATCACTAGAGCGAGGCAACCAACGAGAAAGCTCCGTCTCTAGTGTAAGGAAATACCAGCTGTATCGACATGTCTTCCTGCACACTACTCTCGTTAGGTCATGCCTATCTGCATTAGGTCGGTGTGTACCGGCATAGAAAGATCATTGCATATCGCTACAATAAAAAACAAACAAACTTGCAGCTGCGTCGTGAGATCTCGGTGTAGAATACGTCATACGTTATGGTTACACACAAACTGACATGGTCAAAGTCTGTGACATGATATCAAATTCTGATCACAAGGAATTAACGCAACATAAAAATCAATACATTATTATGAGTATTAGTTGTGTCTGGATTTAAGACTGTTTGAAATGGGGTAGTTTATCCAAATCAGTATTATTTTGTTTGGTATTCAATATTCAAGATTTAAGTAGGACATGAAATGATACGTTGTACATTTAACGTCGTGATATAATTAGATTACTAAGATCATTTCCACCTCAGATAACCAGACACAAGCCACATCCTTCCTATAGCAGTGCATGGTAAATTAAGCGCAGCGTAACGTATCTTGATTCGTTCTCAACTTTAACAACAGAGTTTGACTTGTACACGTCTCTAAAGCAATAAATATTAGCTTCAATGATGATGTCCAGAAAAACATAGAAGAACTAGTTGTATCTATGAAACAGTGGCGTCACGTGACTTTCTGTCCTATCTGAAAATATTCAAATTTAGTAACGACCCGGATACTACTTTCCGTAAGCTCTGTGCCCATTCTTATCGGTATGTTATTGAAACAAATCTTGTCAAATATGAAAGCGCGTCCGAGTGGTAGTTGCGTCTTGAGTGGTTATGAGGCTACCTGACCAAATCTATGGTAACAACTGGACACAAATAAACTGATCCAAAAAGCTGTAACTTGCTTATGGGGTTCAGGATTAATCACGAAATAACTGTTAGTAAAACGCAGCAGCAGGTACGCTTCGCTTCATATACAATGGCTGGTTGTGAAGTGTTGGAAAGCCCAATTTACATCCTTGTTGAGACCAACAGTCTCAATTTCAGGACATTTCGAGGATCTAGAACGCATCTCTTTGTTGTCGAGAGGATATAGTTTTAGTCACAGCTTAAATATCTTTTTATTTCTGGAGATGTTGAATCCAAACGAATATTCTGTTCACGTGTTTCAAATTAAGCATTTTATAGCAGGTCATAAAGAAAGTCCTGTGAACGGTTTGGGCTGATACCACTGTGTAGTATTTGTATCAATACTGTTATGTGCTGAAACTAAAGCAGTAGTTAACCGGGAATCAGTCCGTAGAATAAACAATTCTGTTTCGAAATTTATACACATAAGATAGTGTTACACATTGAATAACACTACCACATAACAGTACTTAGATTGATGTGAAGTGTCATCACACAGATTACTGACTGCGTGTGTTAAAAAATAATCAACAAATACATGAATTGTTCCATTCATTATGCTTTGTTTATATCACATCTTACTTCATGTTTACTCAGGTAAAGAGCGAGTTAGTAAATTGGTTTATCGTCGCTTTGAACAGTACATGCGTTGTAGTTATAGCATAGCGAGACACCTTAATGTCGAGGAATAATTCAAGTGGATCTACTTCAGGCGTTTACACTAACGCCTCTTGAACACTGCTATATAGAAAAATACATTTTCCGAGAAACGTAGGGAAAGTGAGTGACTTTATATATTTCCAAAGGACTATTTAAAGAAAATGCACATGATGAAAGATGAAAATCGATATATTTTTTCATTACATAATTCGGAGAAAAATATGAGTTATTATGAGGAAATGTTGTGTCTGTCCTTTTTTTGTTTGCGTTAGGGAGGTTGTGGATGCAAAGGGTTCGCCTATCAAGCAGATAATCTAAGTGCTAAGTACTACTCGTATGTTTAGACGTTGTAACAAGCATGAGTGATTGTCTATAGCTGTGGTAAAACACACCATCATCGACCTATGCTATGCCTATTCTGACACTGCTATATCACACTAAGGGTTGAAGCAGACGACACACAAGGAAACGAAACTTTGTCACCATGGTATGTAAGGAGCAGTCGAACCCTGTGCTGACACCAGCTTCTGATTGGTTGGTCAGGTTGGTCACGGTCTCACTTATATTATTACGGTGAGGTCTGCGTTACCGTGTCTCTGAACACATCAAGGGTCGAACTTTTCAAAATGGCCAACAACCCGGCTATAACAGGAGAATGTGACGGTAGGCACACTGCATTGATTATATTTTGTACACACTTGACAGCTTGCTAGATTTGTCTTTGTCATTTTCATGTGAAAGTAAATATTTCATGACTGCGTAGTAACGCTAATGTCATGGCAACGATTCAACTTTTTATTTGGTTAATCGGGCGGCGATTTAAGGCTATGATCTAAGTATACATATGCATCTCACGAGATGTATGCACAATGACGGGGTATGAAGACCGTATGATGTGGTCGTTGTATACACGATGCAGGACGAGATTTGGTATATTTTAGTCGCAGATAGCAACTCCTTAGCTTCAATACTAATACTGCAATGAAATCATTAAAAGCTCGTATAGTCGACAGACAAGTGTTAAACCAATGCACTACACTCCATGTCAGTAGTATTCAATACACTTTCTATTCACGTGATTGTTGTTGTCAAAGGGGTATAACTCTTACGTAATGATCACAGGATATCTGAGTCATTTGCAAAGATGTGTTACGTGTCCTTGTTTATAGGCAAACATAAATAGCTGGCTAGGTTCACCCAATATTGTGATCATGACGTGTGCAGAAAATGAAGTTATTACAAATTCTTCGTTTTGCAAGACTGACTGACTGAGTTTGGTTTTGCGCCGCTTTTAGCAATATTCCAGCAACATCACGGCGGGGACACCAGAAATGGGCGATTTGCAAGACCTCCAAACAAAATATGTTAGCACACCAAGTCAATATATTTTTAATGTAGCATGACCAGTCAGTATCAGTTAGACGTTGCAAAGAAAGTAAACGGAAATAATATTATCAAGAAGCAGTCCAAACGCTAGAAAATAACATTCCGAAATATCACTTGCATGTGAAAATATAAACAAGAACAAGAAAAATACATTTTGAAATATGATTGGTTGGTTTGTTGTTTAATGCTGCACACCTGAATATTCAAGCTATATGGTGGCGGTCTGTAAATAATCAAGACTGGAACAGACAATCCAGTTTTCAACAGCATGAGCATCGATCTACGTAATTGGGACACGATGACATCAACCACGTCAGCGAGCCTGACCACCCGTTCCCTTTAGTCGCCTCTTAGCATGGGTTGCTTAAGACACATTCTAACTCGTATCTTCACGGGTCTTTGAAATAGTATATTGTGTCTATATAGTGTATATTGGATTAAACACTACCCACCATGGTATATTTCAACCAATTACCGACTATCACTGTTTCACCAACAGCCTTATCCATTATCTACAATACAAAGCCATGAGGATTAACAGGGCTGACATCTAATAATACATTCGTACAGAGCCAATTCCACTCAGGGTACATCCCAGTCTTTGAAATGGGATATTCCATTTTAGCGTCAAATGATGTCATCATGTAAAGCAATGTAAAACGTGTGCATTTATCTGTTTTGTGACTGCAGTGACAAACATGACAAGGGTTGCTTCCCTTTAATATTTACTGTCAAATTCCAGTAATCTGCTTTGTACCATAGGAAACACACATAATAGCCCTACATTGTACAACTTACAGAAATGGGAAAACAAACTGGTGAGGAAAAGGATTACATGTGCCAAACTGAGTCATCATCAATAAATGATTTATTCATGTACCTCTATGATTATTTTTTCCCTTCTTAATGCCCAACAAAAGTATGTTCGAACATCCATAAATGTTATAGTTTAAAGTAGTATGTCAATTTCTTAAAGCTCACCTCAGCGCATACTGGCTCCATGAAATATTGGCTTATGGCTTAACTGACCTTATGAAGATTGAGGAATACAATGTCTGAATGCATCTACAGCACACACCGCGCACGCATGACGTATCTACACTTTGAGTCACATACATGTTCAGTCAAATACGTCTGAGTAGAAATTTGATGTATCAAAATATAAGATTGGTTCCTAACTGAAGTTATGTCTAGCTTCGGAAAACTAGAACATATATCATCACTATATTGTAGATGACTGTGGAGTTGGAGGGATCTCCGAACTTTCTACTGGCAAAGTTGCGTCGCAGCTTCATCCAACTCCATCCTCTGATTTCTTCCAAGGGTTGGGTGATCCGATTCCAGAAGCAGATGCAGCAATATTGCTTCAAACAAGTGCAGTCACAACGATTGCAAGACGCCAAACCTCCTTGGCTGGAACTTCTGGGTTGGATGCTTTGAGTCAACTAACTGTGAGAGCTCAAAGAGGATGTCTCAGTTTTGAGCCAGGCGAAGTACCAGTTGCTGACGACAAGGACATACAGTTGACAGTGGCTGATATTCATGAGCAACAAGTCATGTCTGGAACCTGGCTTGACCATGACTTCCCACAGTACTGCACATTGTCATCAAGAGAGGCTTCATTTCCAGCAGTGGCCATGCTTGATGGTATCAGAATCAATAAAGCTGACTTTGCCAAGAATGGGTTCTTTTACAGAATCACAAATGGTCAGTAATTGGTAGAAATAAACTTCATAATCTATGTCTGTGTATCTTTAACGTATTTCAAGTATATCAGTTAAACTGTTTGCAGGGACCTTTATTCACAAGTAACTATCTGATGGTCGCTGTGAACTAATGCGAGGGGTATGTTCTCGATTTGCAGGACTTACATCAGTGACATGTTTCCACTGCGGGTGTTCTCCTAGACAGTGGCAGATGGGGATGCAACCTTGGACAGAACACATAATCCTGTCACCCCGATGCCGTGCCATCCCCCTGTAGACACACCATCACCAGATGTCGGGCACTCACATCATTTTCCACAACACAGTACGAACTAGCTCATCGAAGTTCCCATGCAGGTTCTCTCCGGTGTCAATAGAGTTTCGGAGCTGTCAGAAAGACTCACAGTTCGGTACCTGGAACTCATTCCTTTCTGTGCCACTTGTGCTTATATTAAGCATATTGTTTCCTCATCTGCATTAACGTTTTATAATAGATTTATATCATGTGGGGGTTGTAAGTAAATACCTTCGTTGACATGATTAAAAAGACCTAATATTCCCTGTGGGAAATCTACTGTGTATGTCCCACGCTGATAGTAAACACCTACTGGCTGAAATATGATACTAACCTTGGCATTTACCCAAATGATATAGAGCGATGTGACAGAGCAATCATGACTCATTACGACTTTGACCGGTTTATCAACATTAATATATATCTTATTTTGTCAGCTTATTAATGTAATGGAATAGAATCAGACTCAGTTTCTGTTAAATATTCAGATACAGAAGAAACGCTCATTGGAGCAAATTTGTAATGGCAAACTTAAGTTCATTGACTTATAGCAATACATCAAAAGTCACCGAGCGTAAAGGGAGACAACTTTCTAGTGTTCTGGTCAGCCTGCAGGTATCGGTTGCAAATGTTGTCAGCGTGGGGCATGATTATGTATCCTCAAATTGAGCAGCCTCGATTATTATTGCCCAGCTTTGGTCATGTTTTAGTGTTATGCACTTTTTGATATACATTTAATATATATGTATATGTTCAAACTGTTCACTCTCTAATTAGGACTGTTTCAGGATCTATCCATGACTTATTGTATCGTTAACAGGTTTACCCATTGATAAGAATGGCTTTTCATCATGACAGTTCATTTTGAAAAAGAAAATACTTCATACAACTGAATGATTTCAGTTTAATCATTTTGTATTAAGTGTCTCTCATGTTTACAATCTACTCAAGTCCTAGATCAGGGCCTGACATATATATGAAAGGTTACTGGGTATACGTTGTAAACAATTTTCCTGATACTTACTTTTGAAGCTCCATTTTGACTGTAGATATCAAGAACTATGATGGTGGAAGTTAGGGTTTTCAAATGTGTACATACGTCAATATATCTTATAACATTGATTCTCCACACTGACATTTATCCATAGCAATGTATATTATCAATGCTTTTAATTTTAGCATTTCCGATTGTTCTATATACAAAACATTTTCAACCCCCCAAAAAACCCCAACATAACAAAAATACTATGCAGTTTGCCCAAACATGGTTCGCCTAGTCAAGCAGTCATGTAAACCTGTTCATCACAGGGCGCGATAACTCTCCTTTAGAAATAGTGTTAGTTCATAGGTGAATGCGCACTGCTGCGTTGTATACATATACCGTCAAAGCAATATACATGCAAGTCTTCATAATTTCGGAATTAGCTGTTTCTCCATATACTTTACCCCAACTGAATGTTCCTATTATTTCGAGATGTGTGCCATCATGGGTGATATTATGGGGTTGAATATTATCTAAACTGTAATGCATTACAGAGATTTGTTCCAACAGCGTGCTCCATGCTTATGTAACAAGAATATGATATTTGTAGTCTCTTATTTTGGTAATATACTGTGACTATTGGTTCCATAACAACCCATACATTATCATCCTCGTCTCAGTTTCATCAGACAATAATTCAAGACATCTGCAGTTTTTAATGGAGATGTTTTAGCAATTCGATACACAATTGAACGGATTCCAAGTATTAACAATCAGATTTCAATACATAGTTTCTTTATACGTCTAAATTTAATATGTATTTAAATGTTATGCTCTAGTTTAAGCATAATGACTACTCAATCGTCATTTATGAATAGTGCAATACAATGCACATATAAAAAAGGTAGGAAAATAGAACTGTTGTATTTAATCTTATAGCATTCTGTCAGCAGATCCATTTACAAGCTAAAGAGGGGAAAATAGCAGTTAGGAATCACCATTATGGAACAGGAAACATAGAAGGCTAGGTCAAATGATAATCAAAATGAGTCGTTTTCTCTTGCAAACACCAGATCACTGGGAAATCAAACTTGATACAGCCCCTGCAAAGTAGTTAAATGTGACTCATTTGAATTTTACAACACTTAATGCCTTCATAGTTATAGAGAATGCAATTGAGAATTGTCATAAATGTTCTGTTTGAAATGAATAAGAAGAAAAATGAAATTGTGAAGCACCTTTGAATTTGTATTTATAATTGTGTTTTATCTTTTTTCATGATCATATATGAGATGTAATCAATGTAAGTGGCGACGAACAACCACCAGTCACCTATGCAATATGCTTGTTTGAAGGCCATTATTAGGAAAGCGATTCATTAGTACTGTTAGCCAAGACATTGGCATATTTTCTATATCCTTGGTGATATGCTTGGCTAGCCTATTCTGAAAGGTAAAGTCTCCACATTATGTCTCTTCCGGAATATTTATTCAGTTTTAGGTTACCCTAAAAGAACAGTAAATTGTGAAAAAAGTATCGTAACTTTTGATCAGTTAGGAAGCACATACTTTGCACATAAGAACATCAGGAGTTGAACCCGATCAATGTTACTTGTGCCACCGACCATCCTTTTTGTAGCATGTTGTGCTTGTTACACCCCTGGTTTATTATATGTAATAACAATTTTTAATATTAATATTCATTGGCAATAATAAAATTTTGATTAACTGTAATTGTTGTGGTTGTATTCTGGGATACCCATCCTGGAAAGATATTCATAATGTACTAGGACTGCACGGTATTACCGGTATACCGGTATATCGCAATACGCTTTTCAAACGATACGTATTGCAATATTTTTTCTAAGAACCGGTATATAGAGTAAAAAACATATCTTGATACAGCCCCTGCAAAGTAGTTAAATGTGACTCATTTGAATTTTACAACACTTAATGCCTTTATTGTCATAAATATTATTTTAAAATGAATAAGAAGAAAAATCCAGTTGTGAAGCACCTTTGAATTTGTATTTAAATATGTGTTTTATCTGATTTTTCATGATCATATTTGAGATGTAATCAATGTAAATGGCCAAACAATCACCAGTCACCCATGCAATATGCTTGTTAATATTCATTGGCAATAATAAAATTGAGATTAACTGTAATTATTGTGGTTGTATCCTAGGATACCAATCCTGGAAAGATGGACTGCACGGTATTACCGGTATACCGGTATATCGCAATACGCTTTTCAAGCGATACGTATTGCAATATATTTTCTGAGAACCGGTATATCGGGTAAAGAACATATCTGAAATTTTTGTGATTATCTCTATGATTTAAATTAAATTTTACACAGACTTTCATGCACAGCAAATGTTCTGTCTTTGTTTTGACAAAACGGCATATGTAATGCTACTGTATAAACAGAAAATAGAATCCCTGACTATGGAATCTAATTTTGAGATTGCTGTTATCAGAAACATAACATATAAGTTTATGGATTTGTAATGTGGGAAATAGAACTGACATGTACAATTATTGTCACTATTGTCAAACACGTAAGTTCCCAATATATCCCAATACGTATCGCAATATTGGTAGCTGAGTCGCAACATATACTACTGACACTTTGCTAAGGATCACAAAAAATCACAACTTTACTTGAAAGTAGATTCATAATTTGAAATTTAAAACTGGATAAATAATAGTATGGCAACCCCTCTTTAGACAAACAGTCATTTTAATCTAACCTTATGCACTTGATACATGAGTAAGCATAACATAGTTTTCATGGCACCAATCAACCATTTTGCAAATCATGCAACGAGTCATTGACAAGTGCACAACACCTGTCAGTAGCAGGAATGGGATCCACAAGGTGCAGTGACATACTGAAACCTAGGGTCCATGCTTACAATAAGCTTAGATATTTAAACCAAATTTAACCCTACATCATAGTTTTCTGTTGAATCCATGATTTGATCCTTAGCAAAGTGTGAATAGTATATTGCAATACAATTTATCCCTGCATTGTACACATTTCAGAGACAATTAAAATCTTGTGTGGGTGTACACATTTCGCAAACTGAATCCTTTATTCGTGCATATACACATAGAGAGAGGCGTTTAGAATCGGGTTTAGGAGAGTACAACAGGACAGTGTATATTTTCCATATGGCCTGGAGTCTTGTACTGCCTGGCTGTCTACAGAGACATGATGGCACACGACATTTAATGTCTGTCTCAGTTAAAGCTCTTAACTACATGATTTGTTTATTCTTGATCCAGATTCAAACATAACACCACATGGAGGACAGTGTGCGAAATAGTCTCCACATGGTGCTACCCAGTCGGGATTTCCTGAAAGTTACTAGCCCACAAAATAATACACTAGCCCGAAATATAACTGTAGAATACAAATGTTCACAAAAATACATGTAGATGGGAATAGGATATTGTCGGTATGACACGGGTTTCATCATTAAGCTGCTAATATGATGAGCATTTTCATTAGGCCAATGTCTTGCATGATTTAAAAGTGTTTTATAACTTAACAAGTCGGAGTGATGTATTTACAAAATGACCCCATGAGCATTTACTAGTCAGTCGGGCAAGTGACTGTGGTGATGAACTGGCCCGACTGGAGTTTTACTAGCCACGGGCTAGCGGGCCAGTGGCTATTTCGCACACTTTCAACGACGGATATCCTAGCAAAATGTATTAACTATTCAGTCGCCTTCCATCCCGACCAGTTTACTCACCACCATCTCACTGATGGTGTTGATATAAGTCATCATTTCTGGTATAGAGTTATCTCTCTTTGACCAAAGATTTATGCCTGGAAAGTCCAGTTGAAATTGCTCTCAAATCTATATGTTCCTATAGGGAATATATGATGACAGTGTCACTCGGCAACATATTCTTCAAGGTGCGATACTATCATAGGTTCTTCACCAGTTACCCTCCCAGATCAGTGTGGAGTCTCTACAGAAATTGACAAGGACATTGTTCCTGTTGTGTCAGACTTCAGTGGACAGGAAACATTTCTTCCCATTTACTGAATTGCTCAGTGATTGCAAAAGTGCATCCCTTTCTGGAAATGGACCAAATAAACACATATACATTTACAAACATTGTCGAGGGATCCACAGGACAAGTGTTCCTTCTCTCGCATATGTTATATAATATAAACCAATCTGTCACCCTTTTCTCCATACAGTCAATGACAATTCGTCGTGTCGACAGTGTCCATCTCGTGAATAATGCTCAAGACCGTGATCGCTTGTTTACTTCCAGTGAGCTGGTAACTTATTATACTTGTAACCATTCTGATACCCGTTTTTCTGACGCCACATTCAGGGCATATCCATCTCTATTCATAAATGAAATAATCTCTTCCTTATAACATAATCGATTCAGAATTATTGGGTCCATTTCTGAATAAATAGTGGTCTTAGTGCATATTCAGTAACCTAGTCACAACCTATGATATCCTAGTAACATACGATCACTTACAGTTTCTTACCAGTTCCCTAGAAGCATAAGATCTTCACCAACTCACAAAGAGTGAAAATGATTTTATTTAGACTGCTGGCAAAAGACCTATGTATGTCTTGAGAGTCTTTAAGACTTGTATATGTCTGTATTTGTATATGTCCGTAATACACGCTAATTAGTCCTAGAATCAGTAACAATGAAAGGTGTTTGCAAAAAGGAGCTTCTACAGCCCAGATACCTGTAACTAGGATGAGTTCTCTCTGGTTCTCTCTGGAGTCGAGAGAGACGATTTTGAGGAAACAGTTGAAAATGAAAATGTGCCCATACAACACAGCATATTGAACCATTCAAGTGTTCAGAAATGCACCCAGAGAGTATTGTCTTTCCTTTCAGTTTGGGACAGGACATTCTACTCAGCTTACACTAAATGTTGCGTGGTTTGCTACGTCTACAATGGAATAGACTCTGCATAAATAATGTTTGAAAGGTGATCGTACTCATTTGGCTTAAGGACAGTTACGGCAGTGCTACAGAGACGATTTCAACCCAGATCTGTCGTCTGTCACACATGATACACATAAAAACTGGAAGAAAAGAAGATACTGAATCAGAATGTAAATGCACAGTGCAGGGTGATGCGGAAATAAGTTATAGGTATCACGCAGGTGACATGAACATGGCGTGTAGTGTTTTACACGCATTGTCTCAAGTGCTACAGAAGTAACTGCTGATAATTGCCCAGTATTCTGCTGTTGGTGGTTTTGGTGTAACCCGTTGGTTGTCCTGCTGCATGTCACTTACCGGATCCACTACTTGACAGTAACAACTGTCAACAATAGTCACCGGAAGTATCAAGCCGAAGCACATCCATCGACCTCCAACATGTGCCAATACAAACCCTTACGTTACATACAAAGTGTCTGATCTTTCATGTAAGGTATCACGTCTCACATTACATAAATTAGCACAGTCTGAACAGTCCATTGAAGAGGGGCACTATTTTCCCCAATACTCCTTCCGGGTCAACACTAATGGGAGGTAACTTTCGAGGACTCGCTTGATTGTAGCAATGCCGGCCTGAGAGTCTGGGGCAATTCGGTTAGAAAAGGTAGGAGGCATGTTTTGTTCATAATCTCATCTTGTGAGGACCGGAGGATCCAGGTTGTTAACCGGTTGATTCGAAGAGTTGGTTTTAGTGTTGCTGGCATGACTACATGCAAAGTTTGTGAGTCGTGTAGTCCAATCATGAAAAGTGACCAACAAAACCTTGTGTTAAGTATAAAATGTAGAAATATACCTATATCTACTTCATGAAAACTGCCTATGTTGCAATGGAACGATTATTAAAAACTGCTGAAACTACCCAATTTCTCAATACAACTTTTGATGATAATTGATAGAAAAAACAAGGAAAAGGAATCGACACACTTCTCTTAGTCTTATGCAAGGTGAGTACCGTTACGTGCTGCTCACTGATCATATGGAGTGATGTAAGGATGAATACGACGTTAGTGCAATTATATGATCAGTTCAAAGGTAGAATTATATATCTATTCTTTAGTGCTTGCGTTATGCCATGCATTAGCATAATACTATATGGGCTTCCAAACAAATCGTCAGTCAGGGAGGAAACTGCTTCAAGGAATCCTGCAATTAATTAGATTACCTAATTCACGAGTGTATTAAAATGTTTAACATTGATGTTATATACACTCATTGGTTGTAAAGAACGTTTTTGTGGGAGCAAAAGAACAGCGAAGGTGTATATTATTTTGGTGCAATCAAACCAGAAACTGAGGAAGAGTAAGGCACATGACTGCATGTTTACATTGGCTTAGTCAACTCACAATTACATGTAATATTATAGTATGTTATATTTTTTTATATACATGGCATGATCTTGATATGCATTTACAGGCAATAATGGAGAGGGAAGAAGGAGATGTGGGCGAGGTCCAACCTCCAAATATAGTTAACAATGCACAAGCCACAGGTAAACATGAATATTATCTTTTGTTAATAGCTAGTTTTGCCATAGTATACAGTATAGAGTATATTTTGGTACAGGGGTCAATGACCCACGTACACAATTTGAAAGCATACATTAATTGAATAGCAAGGTGACAAGAAATTCAGTCAGTAATTATTCAAATAATGTCCTTTCACACAGTGATTCCACAATAAATTTTGACAATTGTTGAGTGGGATAAGTTTAAATGAATACAAACGATGTGTTAATTTGCAATAAAACATGCCTAAATTAAAACATTACCTTGCTTAAATACATATACTCGGATAGAGCATAGTTGTTCCCCTTGATAGGATCTTTTGGGGTTGATTTCTCCAGCAGTTCCACAGCACAAATGTATGCATCACCTATTCATAGCATGAATAACAGAGGATAACTATGTTTGGTAATCTATTTTGTTTCATTTATCTCTTGATATTCCAAGTTGTTAGATCCACAGGCTTGTTGCTAGCAGAGGAAACCATATATCTTAGTGTATGGGGAGCATATGATACTGATACTGACAGCAGCTTACAATGTCCTCTTGTCATGAGAATAAACAACACGGAACAAATGCTTTTTGCTATTACGACTTTTCTCCCTTCAAGCATGTTCCCAGACAAGAAAAACTTGAATTAGCGATTGGAAGACCACAGTTGGAAAGATATTTTTCTATTTGATATATCCTTACTACAAATGTAGTTGGCAAAGTGACGGGTTTAGAAATAAAAATCCTTTGTCGAGTGTTATTATTGGGGCGTCTCATGAAAATATCGTTCATTTTCTCATCTTTGTTGTATCTCATTTGTGTATAAATTGTCATTGTTTGAAGTGTATTTATTTAATTGTGATGGTCACCATCCGTACTTGGCATGGATGCATATGTAGGCCATCCGCCTTTGCAGCTTAGGTTACAAAACAGAAACCTTTCTTTAATTGCACATTACCTTTTGGTCGTGCCTTGAACTATGTAAAAATGTATCAAAAACCTGTATTGGGTGTTTTTTTCCAAAATGTTACCATCCATCATTCGACCAAGTCCTGCTATATGCAACGTTTTCAGTCTTCATGTCCAATTCATTTGACTTTGAAATACATCTATCAACATTTAATCATAACAAGTCACAAGATCACAAGATCACAAGAACACCTGATCCAAGTTCCACATATGGGGACGCTGGACAAAGCCAATATCCGACAAATATATAAGTAGCTTTAATACAAAAGAACTTGCACTTTAAAGTGAGTGAGTGAGTGAGTTACTATTTAACGTCACATCGGCAATATCTCAGCCATCTTTAAAACGAGCATTGATTTAGTGTATACATGGCTGCAATATGCATTCATACAGATGAGGCAACGGGAATGGATCCAGCACACGCCCCTGGAACAGCTGCTTTTGTGAGTGAAAGTTTGTATTTACACCTTTAACATTACGAGTTTCACATACTCATAGTATAACACTTATATAATTTATACGATTGTTGATTGTCATTAATATTTCTTTAAAGGTCCGCACCCTACAGACAGAGACAGTTAAAATATCTTCAAAGCCGATACACTTCAATGATGACAGTGAAGTACCTGGATATATCTAGCATGTATGATATATGTGACTTTGTCTGAGACTGTGTCCTTGTGTAACACAAACACATAAAGTTATAGTTTTGTTATTAAATTTAATTGTAATACGTTATACAGTTGTACTAACACTTATGCTATATAGTCTTTTAAATCAACCTGTATCTTTGTGTGACACAACTTAAATACATGCAATAATTAATATGCTATAAGTGATTGTCGAAACGACACCCGGCATGTTGATATATTTTCATTCTCTATTAATTTTCAGGTTGAGACTTACCAAACTGAAGGCAGATCAGGTAAAAGAACTCACAATGAATAACTACCAGCTCTCTTAATTATAGTTTTCTACCTTACACAAAGCCGTAATTAAAGTTTAAAGGCACGCTATCACACCACACTTCTCTAAAAATATGTAATGCTTTTCTCTCAAAAATACTAACCATCAGCCCTCAGGGAAGCTACCATATAATTTATCCAAAACAATTTATGTTTTTAAATTACAATATTAAATTAAGAAGTTCGAATGAATTAATGCATCGTTGCATTAAATCGATTCTCGCATCCTCTACCGGCAGAACATTATTTCAAGCGAACCCCATAGATGTCCCTTGGAGCGTCCTCCACACAACTTGTGACTGAAACCTGTTCGGTAAACGACAACACCGCGTACGACAGTCGATGTACGGAGCAATTGTTTAGATTCCATATATGGCAACTGTTCTCAGTTTGAAAGCTGTTCACCTGGAAGTTTCAATTATTGATTTCAGGCAAGTCGTAAGGGATAAAAAGTCTTATAATTGCATAAATAGGAAACTAAAGTGAGTGCATATGCCCCAATATATATATATTATAGGCCAAAATATTGTCGAAAATGTGTGACATCGTGCCTTTAACTATGAACTTTTCATTATGTTGTTTGATTATTTTATTTATTATTTTATTTATTGAGTATTTTACTGTGATACTAAGACCTGAATGTTCCCCAGATGACAGTGCACTTGGTGCCTCCGCCATCGACTCCTCAACAAGTTCTCAAGGGCCTGGAATGGTACATGTTTTCCAACCTACGAGCGAGGACTACGATCGTTGCATGGCACTGACAATTCTTTCCATAGCTGCATATATCTATAGATGTGTGAGGAGGAGGGTTGAAATACCCTGGCAGCCCCCTTATGGCAACGATGACAATGTTCAAGCAAATGATGATGCATTACAGGAAGAAACTGGATACTGGTCCCTTGGCGAGGATTTCAATCCTTTCCAAGACGAGTAGTTATTGAAATGACACGAAATGCCTGTATATAATGGCTCGAGGCACACACACACACACACGCACGCACGCACGCACGCACACACACACACACACACACACACACACACACACACGGAAATGGAAAGTAGGTAACAGTTTATTTGTAACTGGAGAGGAATACATAAAATGTACAATGCCAGGAAATGTTATTATGGAATTATTGTGTGTTTTAACATCTCTAACTCACTCCAAACCGTACTTATCTGACAAGAAGTTATGACATGAACAATATGTGATAAGTATGATAAACAGGTTGATGTGTGCATAAATCAACCTCTTTATTAATGCTGCTCCTCATAATACACATGCAGCTCTTACTGTAGCACATACCAAGCACATATGCTACATATCAGAAGCTCAAATGCTTACTGGCATAGCTTGCCATTGGTTAAAATATGAACAGAATTCCAATAAAAAGTACCTGATATTTATCATCCCTAAAAAAACGTTTATTCGGAGATTATTGTTTTTTTTATTGAATCTAAATGATATCTTTGCCAAATGTATTTCAAATTAAAAAATTGAAAGGTGCCATGGTCATTTATAATATCTGAGATGTCTTTCGTCTTGGTTGTTTCTATTCCCAAAAGCTTCCTCCACTACAAAGACTGTTGTTAAAAAGATTAAAAAACAACAGGTTGTGACTTTTCAACAGAAAATTGGATATTTTTGGAAATGAGATAGCACCAAAAAGAAACTAGGAACCACTCTCACATGACAATGTGTCAGGAAGCAGGTCAATGACGTTACAGAAGTCAGAGGGGTGTGCCATAACTGACATTACTTTGAATCATAATATAGCCATAATGATATATTGTTTGTTGTATATTTTACATATCGTTGTATATGCTTTAAAAAACCAAATTCCGCATGCTAAAATGGAAACTGTTGCACTCTGATTAAAAGGAAAGCGAAAACCCTAGCTGTCGCACAGTTCTCAAATTATTATTGTTTGTTTTCATGTATCTACCTTTGTCCAAACCGTACCTATCGTGCCATAATGTAATGACTGCATTTTTGCACAGGAAAGTAATGCTTCAGCATATAAATGACACATTTTCTTATCAGATTGGTAAATCCTCCAGCAAAATAACTCAAATATGCAGGATCGAGCTGATTAAGCACACATTACTTCAAATCACAACAAAAAGATGAAACAACAAAGATACATATAATAATTAAACCCCAATGATGTAATTTCCTCACTAAGTACCAAGCTATGATGTTCGTCACGTACACAGCACGTGGTTTGATGTTAACCATGCTGTTACACAGAAAATAAGTTGTATATTTGTACATCAATGAGATAACTACTTGTCGCCACTTAACGGACAGTCTAGCAGCAAAGATGACTTGGCAGTAAATGTGAAAAACTGGGCAAAAACTGGGCAACTGGTCCCTAAATCTGCAAGTGCCTATGAAGTTGGTGTGATTGTTCTGTTCTCTTTTCTTTACAGCTCAAACATCAATAATGAAAAGATGAAAATTCCATTCAAGTTTTAAACTCCTCAGAGGTGTTCATATTTTCGACAAAAGTATCAGAATCACAACAAAATAGGACATTTAAAACACATAGACCCCATCAGTTTGAAGTTACCTGCCAATTACTCTTGTAGTATGCTCTTTAGAGGAATGTACTTCATATTGTGTATGAGAGTATGTCACAAGAGATTGGGCATATATTAACAATTGGCGTTTGCGTTGCTAGTAATGATTTGGAACAAAATATGTTCATGATACGATTCATAGACTATATGCTATTTGATTAAAATTCCTATGCTTTATCAAATATGAAACCCTCAAATTAATTTCTATACGGAGACTCGGAGGCTCGGTCTAGTGGGCAGTCGAATAGATTTGATAGAAGTCGTCAAAAAATCCAATTTCTTAACTTCAGCCAAGCAGTTAGTGAAAATCCTAATTACACAAAGACACGGTCTTCGTTTCATCCTTTGAATACAATATCAAGATCTAGGTTGCTTTTTCGAGATACGTTTGATTGTGGAGCACACTCAGCTATTACGTCCAGGCTGACATGTACGAAATTGCACTGGGGAAGCATCCGCGTCCATATTTTGATAGTATTATCTAAGCCATAAATTATGATTTGGTCTTGTAAAGTAATGATACATAACCCGTAGTAGTATCAGCACGAACATTAGGTGAACAAAAACATGATTACTTTGCCAGTTTAAATAAGGCATGTTTCTCAGTTCTGTCGGCTGGTGCAGAAACTATGTTGTGATTACAGAGAAAATGTCCACATGAAAGTTGTTTGCATTTATATCTATGGCAAATTAATAATTCATGAACAGCGTAAATTACAACAATATATACTAGTTCTACTGTTTCAAAGATCACTTTTGTCTCTGTTTCCTGTATAATTTGTGCTGTTCTTACTAAATAAGATTATGTAACGAATTATTCCATGACATACATATTCCATTGTTACATGTACTTGAATGAATCCGCGAAAAGCGAAATTATCCTATGCATATACAATAAGATCACCCATGTCTGGTCTCGGTCACTGTCTTCCCTTTCCTGTGGGATAATGTAACTAATTCTAAACAAAGAAGGCATTTCTTCTAATGGGTATCTAAAGGATAATATGGAGTCTTTTGTCACTTGTCATTCTCGATGGTCCCTGTAATAACGCATTCTTTGGGATAGTCCCCTACTGGATAGTGTGAAGTTTGATGGGAAGTTTAATGTAGACCTAAGCAATAGTCTATCATTGACCCCTCTGTCTGTTTGGTTACAACACGGGTGGCCGCCGGGCCAGATACCATGTATCTCACACATTGAGATTCACATGGTCACCTGCAAGGCTAATAAGAACAACAACCCCATTCCACAACAGAGAGAGAGAGAGAGAGAGAGAGAGAGAGAGAGAGAGAGAGAGAGAGAGAGAGAGAGAGAGAGAGAGAGAGAGAGAGAGAGAGAGAGAGAGAGAGAGAGAGAGAGAGAGAGAGAGAGAGAGAGAGAGAGAGAGTGGGTGGAGGATATCTGTTATCATATTTGCTGACCTCTATCTCTGTTCAGATAGGAGTATAGATTATATTACATTATGTGTCGTGGAAACAATGTCGAACAGATACGGCAGTGTATCATGAGCATAGTGTATATACTGGTATATACTGACCTGTATTACTAGTAAATCCAGGGTCTTAAAACATCATGGCGCCAAACAAACACGATACAATAAGGAGTGTCTGAATACCCTTTCTTGGTCGATGAATGCAGGGGAGGCCTATTTCCGTGGCGGAAGATATGCTGCAGTTTCTGTTACATGTCACCGGGGCATGCATGTGGAGTGCTCTGACTGGCCAATTTCAAATGGATATGATTACGTCAGACATGTGCACAGCAATCGCGGTAGTTACTGGTAACTGGGAGAGGTATACATAATACAGAAAAATATAATTGTGATAGTCACGCATGCCTTTGCGTTTTACATGGTCATCGACCAACAGGGTCGTAGCAAACAAAGCCCGGGCTTACACATTATTGTTGCAAGTCCACAGCATTATCTAAATTATCTAAAGCTATGCAACCTATCGGACTTACACGAAAAAATTGGCTTGCTACGCGCCTGTCAATGTGTGAACGCGGCTTGACGCCTCTTTCTAAAGTGTTTCAGTTCTACCACGGCCGGGTACGTTCTGTGCAGTGTGGTGGACATGACATACCAATGACTTTAACTAGTGTGTTCCCAACCACCACTTCATAAACAATATTACAACTTATAATTGTAAATGATTAACTCAATAGTGAATAATACCCTGTAATGAGGGTAGGTTTTACTTCTACTATTTGTTGTGTGGATACTGATAGCAAGCAAGTTACTAGGCAACCGATTTCAACTGATGTTGATTCATCCATACTAGCTTTTATTTCAGTTAATAATGTAAATAACATGAAACGAACATCGACAGAAATTATAGAATACTTTAATATCATTATTCCATTCAGACAAACCGATACAGCCAAGATGAAATATCTGGAACTTTTAAGAAGAGCTAAGGAGTTAGACTTTGGGAACAGAAGGACTTTTTCAAGAGGTATTTAAAACTATTCATGTCTATGTGTTCATATATGTTATTATCATAAATCTGTAATAATGCGTTACAAAACACAATACAATAACATTAATATAAAATAGAATGGATGGCGAAAAACCTCCCTTGAATAGTATTTTACGGTATGAAAGTAATGTAGCGAGAAGCCCGGATCTGGGCTTATCTGATTTACTGAAACTGTTGAGGTCTGAGAAGTGCATCTGAACTGAACTTTATTTCAAGTCAGGCCGCAGACAGCGGCATATGAGGTTACATATGTGTTACAAATATATATAGTATATATATATAGTTATATATAAGCGAGTTTTCTAAGAATACCTATCTTATTGCTATTGAATAATGTATACATTTTATGAAAATTTGGTCTTGTATAAAAATATGGCTTTAAATATTTAACTCTTGCATTTATAAAGTGAGAACAAATAAATAAATAATGAAATCCATCGCCAATGTCGCTACCGTTACACAGTTTACATAATCTATCACGTTTTGGAATATTGCTCCAACGGCCTGTTTCAATCGGTCAGTTATGATTTGCTGTTTCATAACGTAACACTGCCCTTGAACACTTATCATTTAAAATATACAAATATTTACTTAACCTTAAATCTGAGTTGGATACGGAGCTATATAAGATACCTTTTGATGAATGTTCTACCGTAGATAGCCACACTTGCTTATACGCATCTTCTAGTTTACATTTAACTGTATGTTTTAGTTAATTCAGGTTTTCAAAATTTCCAGATATAACTAAGTCCAATTTCGTCAAACGTATGTTTAATATACATTATCCATTTATGCTTAGTTTTTCCAAAATGCGTGTCGTTAAAAAGTAATTTAAAGATAAGTAAGGATAATTTGGAAGATTTACCTGTTAAAAGTCGACCCCAAAACGAAATAATTTTCAATTTCACATCAATTGCAAGTGGGTTTCTACCAAACTCCTCATACAACATAATCTTTGGGGTGCTTTTTCTTAACAGTGCTAATTGTTTAAGAAAGTTTAAATGTTCTTTTTCCAATAATGATGTATTTTAGAATCCCCAAACCTCACAACTATATAGAAGAATCGGCAACACAATGGAATCAAATACGTTTCCGAAATTGTAATTCGTATGTTAGATGCAGTTTCCGACCTTTGCTAACAATAAAATACATTGCTTTTGTGGCTTTTTCAACAGCTGTTTCTTTTGTTAATGTAAATCTTCTGCTTTTTTGGAAAGCTACGACCAAATATGTGTATTTTTTAACATTGTCCAGAACGTTATTTCCAATTTTAAATGGGATTTTGTAATCTTTCTTTGAACAGCCAAATATTAAAACTTTTGTTTTAGCAATATTGACATTAAGTTTCCATGTGGAACAATAGGCATGAAAAGAATCCAACATTTGCTGAAGATCGTTGGGATTTGAAGCCAAGAGAACTGCATCATCCGCATATAATAATACAAACATTTTGATGATATCTTCTAACCTATCATTAAAATCTTCAAGTTTAAGCTGCACACCTTTACAGAAATCTTTATCAAAATACATTTCAATATCACTGCGATCTTTCCTCCTTCGTCATAATGACATACCGTGATATGACTGGCCTACTTGATAACACACTAGTTACAGGCAACTGGTTGCAGTTGCAGAAAGCAACCTAGGTCTAAGGCGTGAGTCTACGCCAGATAAATCAGCGCTTTACAGTCACGGAAGTGTTATCTCCCCTGACCAAATTTCCAAATCAATGCTACGGACATCGGGGTAATCGCTCGACACCGTATATTTATACCGCAGCGTATTAGCAATGTATTTTTACAGCACATTCAATGCAGTGGATGTAATGGGGAGCTTGAACATGTATCAGACTGTAATGTGTCTAAATATATTTTATCTTCTTCCCACATTCCCTTTGGATTCTCCTGATTGTAGTTATATTAAATACTCAACGCCTTTCAAAGTGGAAATCTTTGATGCGAATTATCCTGCAAACAACATCTAACCCAGGCTATCCACATTGCTCCTCTCAATGTCTTCTCGACCTCAGTGGCTGAGTATAGTTTTGTGCCGTTTTTAGCAATATTCCGGCGAAATCACGCAGGGGCCCCTAGAAAAGGGCTTCACCCGTATATTCATGTGGGGAATCTACCCCCCACACCCTCGGCGTGACGAACAACGCTCTCATCACGAAGTTACCCCAACGTTTGTTCTTGAACTCAATGTGTGAGTTGTGAGACATCTCCTCTAATTTGTAAGGGGCGGTGGGGTAGCCTAGTGGTTAAAACGTTCGCTCATTACGCCGAAGAGCCGGGTTCGATTCCCCACATGGGTACAATGTGTGAAGCCCAGTTCTTGTGTTCTCCGCCGTGATATTGCTAAAGGTGGCGTAAACCAAATTCATTCATAGGTCGTAAAGTCTTTTGTGCCATCATGGCTGACATATCATAGTGAGTGAGTGAGTATGTTTTTAGCATTCGCATTTAGTTTAGATCAATCCTACAAACATATATCCTTTACTCTCCAAAACGTAGAGCCGAACAATTTCTATTTCAGAGACCGCCTATATACGGTATACGCGTGTTTGTAAACGTTTCCTGAAAAATCTGTGCGACTGATTGGAAAAATGTATTGCAAATTTTACTTGGAGAAAAAGGTGAGAGAAAGAGAGTGAGAAAGAGAGGGAGGGAGAAAGAGGGAAACAGACAGATAGACAGAGAGAGAGACACAGAGAGAGTATATTGACCTTTCATGCTATACAGAGGTGAGTGAGCGAGTTTAGTTTTACGCCGCACTCGGCAGTATTTCAGCTAAATAATCGAGTCTGGACCAGCCAATCCGGTGATCAACAGCATGACCATCGATCTAAGCAGTAGGGATACGATGACATGTGTCAACCAAGTCGGCGAGCCTGACCACCCGATTCCGTTAGTCGCCTCTTACGACAAGCATGGGTTACTGAAGATAAATTCTAACCCGGATCTTCACGGGTCACTATACAGAGGTTCCTCGCCTCTGCAGTCAAAGGGAAATAATTCAAAGTAAACATATTTACCTATGTGAATATGTGAAACCTTTGTCGAAATAGTTTGTATTTTCTTTAATTTAAAGGGAACAGCGTTAATGTCTGAATGGTTTTCGTGCTGGTAATGTCGGAAGAAGTTCTATGTTAACCCACAAAGTATAAGGTGTAAAAGTAAACAGCAGCAACAGACACTTTTTCTAAAATGTTTATTATTAACATATATAATTAATGGCACATTCCTTAAAACACTGACACAGCTTTATCAATGTATCTTGAACATCTTACACATATAAATGCATTCAATTTGCCTTCCACAATACGTCTATACCAAAATAGTCTATAGTCTGTAGTCCAAGTTCTGACTGAAACCAAGCTGATCTTGTTATCGCCTCATTAAAGTATGCATTGTATTCTCACAGCAGAAAGGGGCGATTGGGTATCCTAGAGGTTAAAGTATCCACTCGTCACGCCGAAGACTCGGGTTCGATTCCCCACATGGGTACAATGTGTGAAGCCCATTTCTGGTGTCCCCCGCCGTGGTATTGCTGGCATATTGCTAAAAACGGCGTAAAACCAAACTCACTCACTCACCGGGGGCTCACAGCAGAAAGTGAAATTCTTAATTAATGGAATATCAGGGTTGCTGCACCGGTTCTGGAATTTTCTGTTCCGGTTTGTTTTAGCAGAAACTGCATTGGGTTTCTTATTGCTCGCTCCAACTGAACAATGAACACAGATTCCACATTTTTTTAAAGTAACTGTTAGCGAACTACGGGATATCAGGTCACAGGGGAATCTGACATCGTCCACATTGTCGTAACGCTCTATATATCGAGGTGTCGTGGCAAAGGATTGTTTCCGCGGAAATATACACGCTTCAAGCCGAATTCGCCAGTTTCTTCTCCAGGTTACACTACACTAAATGAAAATCGCATGCTCCCTGAGCGAAAACCGTCTGCTGAAGATATAGAGACATGTGACAGCTGTGATTGGATGAAATAGTGTAAGAATTTTATATATTTTTTAAAAGCACATCCATTATGTAATTTTTATCACCATGACTTATGCTTATTGTGTGTACAGATATGTTCCAGTAGGTGACATTTGGTGCGGAACTGGGGTTGATGTGTTCAGCTTCGTGTTTGGAAATTTAGCCGGAATTTGTGTTTTTATTGTAGTTTAAAGGCCAGACTGTACTAATGTGTACATGAAATGGCTGTTGACAGCCTGGATGATTAAAAAAAATATATAACGTTACTATAGAAGTCTGTGTAACCTCCAGGAGCACAAAGCGTACATACGCATGTGTTGAGGTTATCTCCCTTGTCTGATGATCGCGTAAAACACGAACAATGCTTGGCGGCTCTATTCCGGACCGAACCGGTATTTCAGATGCAATCTTTACATTCAACGCCACCTTACCAGCAATGTAAGAAGCAACTTGAAACAGTAGAATGAATCAATCCAAACTATCGATCCCGAAGCTGAATGTTTTTTCTAGCGTATGTTGTCACATTTTCCAGAAAATTGTAGGTCCCATGTTAGATAAATATTCAGAAAGAAATGCAAGTAGCTCCCTGGCCAGCTGACAGCGGTAACGTTAACAGGAACAGATAACCGGGTTCTTGTAAGCCATTCTGTATTTAATGATTAAGTCTTCGTGAATTTGTTTGTCAACAATCCCCGACCATCTTCCTATCAATCGATTAAATGCAAAGCTAAACGTATACTGCCTGTTGCATTTTATAAATAATGCATCAAGTTTGTTTGTATCGTTTTGAAATAGATAAACCTAAATACGAATGAAGTGATTCGGGCTTGTTAATAGGTTGTTCAGCATTCAGCAATAGTGCAGGTGTAGGTCGGCGGCCTGTAGATGATCATGTCGGGATCAGATGAACCAGTGATTGATATCAATGATCCACTCTGATGGGGCAGGATATCAACTGACGTCAGTTGACTGTATGCTCATGGTGTCTGAGCCTGATCACCTGTCTCATGCTGTGGCCTCTAACGGCAAGCATACCCGGAACTCCTCCTGGGGAAGAGTTGATAGACGACAGGAGACGCCAGTTGACTGTATACTCATGGTGTCTGAGCCTGATCACCAGTCTCATGCTGTGGCCTCTAACGGCAAGCATACCCGGAACTCCTCCTGGGGAAGAGTTGATAGACGACAGGAGACGTCAGTTGACTGTATGCTCATGGTGTCTGAGCCTGATCACCTGTCTCATTCAGCCGCCCCTAACGGCAAGCAGAACTCCTTTTGGAGAAGTTGACTATATGGCCATCGTGTCGAGCATATACATTCAAGGCTTCAAGAGGGATAATTGTCAAGGATGTGCTCGTGTCGGAATTGAATATCTACTTAAACTGTTGCCTGCACTTCAGTGTAGTGACGCAAACGTTTTACGCACTGTCCACTCATCATTATTCACGACCCAGACACAGGATAAACCAGCAGTCCATATTTGTCCTTGAGGAAAGATGAGTCTAAACGGTATGTACGTCTTGTTAAATGTATTGAAGTGCAACGTTGCATTGATAGTACATTGCCATTGGTTACATATCTTACTTTTGAATGTCCCTTGTCATCCTCCAGTTTTTAACATTTTGGACTATATATTTTTAACTGTTTCGTTTCCAAGATGTGGTGTCATGTACTGTGTTGTGTTTGGGATTTCCGTTTTATACAGCAGTCTCAGTAACGAAAAACGTAGCATGATTGAGATGGTTAGCATAATACAGCAGATCTGGTGGGTGTGATTATGGTGATGTAGCACTGTCATATTTTTGTATGACTGTCAATACACAAAAGCGACAAATTAACAAAATGTGTACTTACAAAAAAACTGATATTTGGTGTATGCTCTGGAAACTTAGGCATAAGAGAACTTATATACACTGCTGAATGGTGAACACACCATTTACAACTGAAGAACCTTTACCATTGCGATACCTGCTATTGATGTGTGGTGTCTTCGGTCGGATGTGTAGGGCAAGTCTACGTCCTGATGGGGTGGGTATTAAGCATAAGGAGCTGTTAAAGCATGATTTGTAAATGTGTCTGGTTTCACGTAGATATGACTAATTGTCGTTATTAGACACTGACTTTGATGAAGATTGGATGGAGATAGGAATTGACCTAGCTGTGTCATCATGACCAGAAGTATAGATTGCTGCTCATGCAATCATCCACTAGAAATATGTAGCAGTTCATGTTACGAATGGGGTATTGTAATCTCTATATAATCAGATACCTAATCTTTACAACCTTCATGTAGTCAATTGTCATAAAGGACTGTGTACTGAACAACCCAGTCGGATCATCAAGGTAGGTGTTAAATTACTATCAGATAGCGATCGATAAAACAGGTGATACTAGGTTACTAATACAAATATACTATCATTCATCACTTTGCCATTATTTGACATGGTTTTAAAGAAACGAAATGTATATAGTAATGTTAAACTATCTGTAGCCACCATGCCTCGAAGAGGGTAGATTGATGTTTACTGAACATCAAACATGAGGATTTGCAAATAATGAGTCAGTGAGTGAGTTCAGTTTTACGCCACACTCAGCAATATTCCAGCTATATGGCGATCTGTAAATAATCGAGTCTGTACCAGACAATCCAGTGATCGACAGCATTAGCATCGATCTGCGCAATTGGGAATCGATGACATGTGTCAACCAAGTCAGCGAGCCTGACCACCCTATCCCTTCAGTCGCCTCTTACGACAAGCAGGGGTTACTGAAGACCAGTTCTAACCCGGATCTTCACGGGTCGCAAAAAATGAAACCTTATGTGATACGATAGATTTATATCAACAAAAGTTAAGTCCGTTGAGCCAGTGTTTCACGGTGACAGTCGATAATTTAAGCAGGGGTATGTGACCTTTAGTGATTTTAGTGATTCACTATTCGCAGGGCGGAAATGGGTGAATGGGATGCTCAACCACCTACTTCCGACTATTACAACAAACGAAATGCAGAATCCGGTTTTTATTCAAGTTCGTCTCTATTCCGGAAAAAGATGAATTTTAAACACTTCTACACTGTCGTTTCTAATATTGATTATTTGGGAGTTACACGTGTCAGTTATTGCATGGAATATGCGAGATGAAACGTTCTTGTACAACGCCACCTGTCATCTAGTGTCCTGAGACACAGTTAACGAATTTATCGTAATGAGCTGTCTGTGTGACCGCAAAAACCGCAAATGTCTTTAAGAAAAGTTTAATTCTAGTACAAAACATTATCGCTGACTGGCAGTTTTTCTCATATTCTAAATGACATACAGTAATCGTTAAACCCTCTATGTAGGCTGTAGGTCAGCTTTTTCGCAGGCTTGGTGTGGATGGTAAGGATGGTGAGAGGTTAAAATCATACATGAATATTAAATGCAGAGAGTGATGTTCGACTTTAAGCAAGAAGACACGCTTACAAAGATACTAATTCTGTTGAATAGTAGTATCTTACACCAAGTAAATGCCGTTTAAAGTTGTATATATTTACTGACGTTGTTACGTGACTATCTATACAATAGTTTGCAGAATTCTTGGACTTAAAGTAAGTAACATAAGGAATATCAATTTTCATTGTTTTTAATCAGATCCGTCAACGATCACGGGCTTGTGTTTGGTTTTACTGGGCTTCCACTCCTGGACCACAGGAATTGGTGAGATAAAATCCGGTTACGCAAATATGCGATTACGCTCTGTAATTTACTAAAATATCAAAATGATAAAAATTGTGAATTGAATACATATGAAAACTATGAGGACGAATGTCACTCTTGAATCTTGATGAACTTCATTATATACATGTATGTGTTGAAACACACACACACACATACTCGCGCGCAGACACGCACACACGCGCGCTCGCAAGTTTATAATGAACAATCATATAGGAAAAGTACATGTCGTTTTATCATTTTAACAATATCTGATATTGTACACCGAGCACACTAGTATATGGAAGGCCTTGGGTTACAAGGTACGCTTTGACAAATGCTTGCAAAAACACCGTCAAAACGTCATGTTTACTCAATGAGATCACTTCATTTATACTAAATGCATTTGTATGTTTTAGTTATGTCATTCATGTGATAAAACACTTGCTTGAAGGTCCCTGTTAAAAACACAATGGGGCGGTGGGGTAGCCTAGTGGTTAAAACCCCAGCTCGTTCGGCCGAAGGCCCGGGTTCGATTCCCCGTATAGGTACAATGTGTGAAGCCCATTGCTGGAATATTGCTAAAAGCGGCGTAAAAACAAACTTACTCATTCATTCACTTAATACACAATGTTATAGACATTTCACATTTCCTTTTACAGCTGGAGAATGCCATTGTAGCACCCCAGAGGCATGTACCGTGTTTCCCTCCTCCCCCTGTAGCCTGCCCGGGGGTGAGGACCGATGTCAAGAGGGATGGTTTGGTCAATACTGCCAGAAACGTAAATATCAATAATCGATCGCCTAGTGTGTATATCCTATTCACGGATTTAACGGACAATTTACTGATGATGTAGCTATAGTCTACTGGATAGAGCGTCCACAGAGAGCTGAATGTTGGCGGTTTGATCCTGGTGGCATCATACGAACATATGCTAAAAGGTGATACTTGCCTGGCGCTAGGAATTATGGGGATAAAACAAGGACCCGTCCTCTCAGAGATGGTCAACCATGTCCGAAAGGGTATCTATACTAAACTAGAACTTGGGTCAGTACTTTAACATGGACGTTAGTCCATACTAACATGCATCAACACACACATGTGCATGCACGTTGTAAAATAAGTGCAATAATTATCCTTCCTTGAAACACAAAAGTCGATGAGTTAGTCAGGATGGTTAATTGGACAGATTTAGCAGGTGGTAGCTCAGGTCGTCTGGTGATCGGATGGACAGGCCCTGACTACTTGGTTATATAGTCTTCTTTGAACATATTCTATCCACAAAATGCTAGATTCTTTAGAAATCAGAAAAAACGTTCATATCCTCAACTGAATGTGTTTACCTTTATCAGGAAATGTGGCGTTGAGGAAGCCTACCACACAGAGTTCTGTGTGGTTCGAACAAGAAGAAACAGCTCAGCCTCTGAATCTCACATCATCCTATGCGGTTGATGGAATAGTTTCAACTCTGTTCATCGACAGTCCGTGTTCTCATACTGACAGGGGCGACAGGAGGCCATACTGGAAAGTGTTTCTCGGTGCCAGCACCAACCAGACGCTCCTTCACATGCGATTGTATCTCCGGGAGATTTGTGAGTACCCCTTTACGTTGGTGCTCATCAATATAATGTTTTTACAATCTACATGATTCACTACAAAAACAGAGTACTTGTAGTCCCTCAGAACGATAGCAATAAAACAGATATATAACATTTACGACGATGGAAGTAAAGAACAAGAGTCATATCATGCTAAGACTGTCGTACAAGAGATGCTGAATGGTTTCATTCTTCTTACTCTATGAATCGTATTCACACAGTGAGTTCATCTAAACAGGTAGACGTACAAGTAGAACCGACCTCAGACGTTGACATTATTCATACAGGCGAATGTCGTAATATCATTAAAATGTCTAATATACATTGATTTTTATGGAATGTCTATTGGATGCTGGCCACACATCTCTTAATACTAGAGAGAGTAACGCTTACAGTGAAACGACCGTAACATTCAGCAGCATATGGTACAAATATGGTATTATTCGTATGGCTATGCCAAGGCATGAAACTGTTATACTTTAGCAGATGAACAATACAGGAAATCACGTACCACTATACAAGATCTCGTGATCTCATTTCTATCGAAAACATTATTCACACAAAAGATATCTTTTCCAACCAGTAACAGATGCTTGCAATATATCGTCAAAACCAAATGTTTTAAAATGGTGCCTCTTAAATGTGTATCTCTTTTCTTTGTGTGGATATAATAAAGGGAACCGGAACGACAGAGTTGACTCACGATCAGGATCGATAGTATATATATCTTGTATAAACTAACATTTATTTGTTGTTACTGCGGTTAACCTTTGTGATTCAAATCGAATATTGAGTATACATGAGCGTGACATTCTCTGTGGCACTGTTGACTCACGAGAACATCAAAACAAGCACACGTGTAATTCCTGATTCGTGTAAATTCACGCCGATCTGATCATATGCACTGTAACAGGGAGAGGACGCAATAACGGCATGAAGATATTCGTCGGCGACCAGATCTGCTACAGCTGGCCGGCAACTAGAGAACCTCCCCCAATAGCGAATGTGACATGTCGACGTCCACTGACTGGAAACACCGTCACTATTCGTACACCACGGGAGTATCTCACCCTATGTGAGGTGGAGATATTTGGTATGTGTTGATGCAGCCTCACCCAGAAAACCATACACCAGTCCAAAACGTGCATATATAGAATACTTTCGAGGTAACGTCTGTGTCTAGGTATGTCACCGCTTGATGGGTTTGACTGTTACGTCACTGGAATATGGCATTTACGGATAAATGACAAGTTGATGTATTATGAACTGCCTTGGATCGAGTAATAATTACCTTTGGCTCTTGTTTAATATAACGTCATTTTGATGGGTGACATAAAAGAAGATTTCGTTTGAATTCAAAGTCTCCCACCCAACGTAACAATAACGTTTCGTGCAAAGAAATCACTTAGAACGGTAGTAGGTAACTATGGTCATCTCCAGTTTGCAGTGATGGTTGGTTTGGGGACAATTGCGACAAACAGTGCCATTGTGCAGACGTGTGTGACAAGATCACAGGTCGCTGCCCGAGTACGTGTGATTCCGGATTCTCTGGTTCCACCTGCCAGACACGTGAGTGTGGGGAGCAAATGTTTTGTTGTTTTGTTCTATGGTCGGAAATACACACGCTAGGTCACAGCGGCCATTTGATATCCAACTTCCAACACGTCATTAGTGACATTAGAAGCAACGTTTCAGATGAAGTAACAGGTAGAGGTACAAGTAGAACCGACCTCAGACGTTGACATTATTCATACAGGCGAATGTCGTAATATCATTAAAATGGCTAATATACATTAATTTTTATGGAATGTCTATTGGATGCTGGCCACACATCTCTTAATACTAGAGAGAGTAACGCTTACAGTGAAACGACCGTAACATTCAGCAGCATATGGTACAAATATGGTATTGTTCGTATGGCTATGCCAAGGCATGAAACTGTTATACTTTAGCAGATGAACAATACAGGAAATCACGTACCACTATACAAGATCTCGTGATCCCATTTCTATCGAAAACATTATTCACACAAAAGATATCTTTTCCAAGCAGTAACAGATGCTTGCAATATATCGTCAAAACCAAATGTTTTAAAATGGTGCCTCTTAAATGTATATCTCTTTTCTTTGTGTGGATATAATAAAGGGAACCGGAACGAAAGAGTTGACTCACGATCAGGATCGATAGTATATATATCTTGTATAAACTAACATTTATTTGTTGTTACTGCGGTTAACCTTTGTGATTCAAATCGAATATTGAGTATACATGAGCGTGGCATTCTCTGTGAAACTGTTGACTCACGAGAATATCAAAACAAGCACACGTGTAATTCCTCATTCGTATAACTTCACGCTGATCTGATGATATCCTCTGTAACAGGGAGAGGACGCAATAACGGCATGAAGATATTCGTCGGCGACCAGATCTGCTACAGCTGGCCGGCAACTAGAGAACCTCCCCCTATAGCGAATGTGACATGTCGACGTCCACTGACTGGAAACACCGTCACTATTCGTACACCACGGGAGTATCTCACCCTATGTGAGGTGGAGATATTTGGTATGTGTTGATGCAGCCTTACCCAGAAAACCATACACCAGTCCAAAACGTGCATATATAGATTACTTTCGAGGTAACGTCTGTGTCTAGGTATGTCACCGCTTGATGGGTTTGACAGACACGTCACTGGAATATGGCATTTACGGATAAATGACAAGTTGATGTATTATGGACTGCCTTGGATCGAGTAATAATTACCTTTGGCTCTTGTTTAATATAACGTCATTTTGATGGGTGACATAAAAGAAGATTTCGTTTGAATTCAAAGTCTCCCACCCAACGTAACAATAACGTTTCGTGCAAAGAAATCACTTACAACGGTAGTAGGTAACTTTGGTCATCTCCAGTTTGCAGTGATGGTTGGTTTGGGGACGATTGCGACAAACAGTGTCATTGTGCAGACGTGTGTGACAAGATCACAGGTCGCTGCCCGAGTACGTGTGATTCCGGATTCTCTGGTTCCACCTGCCAGACACGTGAGTGTGGGGAGCAAATGTTTTGTTGTTTTGTTCTATGGTCGGAAATACACACGCTAGGTCACAGCGGCCATCTGATATCCAACTTCCAACACGTCATTAGTGACATTAGAAGCAACGTTTCAGATGAAACCTGCTATCTTAGGATGAGCACGTCATTGGCCATATACCTCAGACAAAGTGTCATGGATATGGAAGATCCTACAAATAGAATTCGGGAGCCAGAGTTTGCTCAAGATAATGGAATACACGTTACTTCTTATTGTAGACCCTTTTTCTATTCTCTAATACAATTCTTACAAGACGTGTATTATCACAGGGTACGTGTGTGTATGACACTGAACTGATAGTAAATTGTTATACATGTATTCTGTTTAGCATGCGATGACGGTCTCTTTGGCAACCAATGTCAATATAAGTGCGGCCAGTGCAAGTCCAACCTTCCCTGCAACAAAGTCAGTGCGATCTGTGAAGACGGATGCAACCCTGGATTTGAGGAGCCATATTGTGTTGGTGAGGATCTTGGGAGACGGTTGCTTGTAGAGGTCAACCTCCACATAGTGTCTTTATCTAGTGCAATACTTACTGGGATAGGATTTGGCTGATTGGTTATTTGTTTAATCATGCACTCAGCAATGGCTGGACCCGGAACACCAGGAATATACACGGTATGAATACATTGGCGAAATGTTCCATTTGAAAACAAATTGTAAGTTGTTTTTCGGACAAAATGTAGTTTTGAAGGAACCACACTAGGATCGATAGTGTATTCCTGTATATATCTGAGATAGTTGTTACATATATACATACTAGTATATGGAATTCAGAAGGTGTGTGTTGTTTTCTGAGGATGGACTACTTTACATCACCTGCACACCCGAAACGCACATGCAACAAGTTTTGTAAGATTATTTTTGATTTTGTCAAAATATCAAATATCTCGTCAGATGGCAGTGCTCACCCGGGCTGTAACTTGAGGTGGTGCGTCACACAGACATTGTAAATTTATGAATAATGGTTTCTGTTCAGGATATCGTTATTTTTTTAAGTTAGTAATTATGTTTTCATGAGATAATCGAGACGAGGTATGTTAATGTTGATAAGTGTCCGAACGCCATTACACGAGGATACTCTAACGAAGCAGAAACATCATCGTGGATGGAGAGAATAACGCTCGTTTTGGCTGCTTTCTGCTGATAGCAGTATGCCATCAATACAACGACGGGGTACCCAGAAATAGGTATTTAACACCTATTTTCTCCATCTTGTAACTGCACCCAGAACCATAGATATGACAAACGTTCTCACAACTAGGTTACCTTAGTAGTGAAATATATTCACCGATTTGTACGTCACGGGCGGTGAGAATGTGATGTCCGGTGTATGTCGCTTGATACCCATCTGAACAGGATGAAAATAAAATGAGACGAAGGATATAAATCTGGAATCACAAATTGTGACCAGATGATTAATAGATACAATGGATTCAATTAGAGATAATTCCTTCATATGCCATGCTGAAATGTTATATATTTCATTGTTGTAGGACTATATCGAACTTCTCATTATTTCAGATGAATGTGTGGACGGAATGTATGGATCCAACTGCACATCACGATGTGGTCACTGCAAAGATTACCAGTTCTGTAACAAACTCAACGGAGTTTGCGCTGAGGGGTGTGTCAATAATTACAAGGCACCCCTCTGCCAAGGTGAGAGCAGGAAGCACAGTGCTAGTAATGTACGTTTGAAGTAACCATGACTGAGTTTCCAATTAGTAGAAATGGCACACTTAAAATGAGTATGTTTGGATAGTACTGTAATAGTTCAGTAACCGGAGTAGAAGCGTTGATATTGTATGATCAAATAGATCCTCAGTGTATGTTTACAAGAAAATGTTGCGGTCATCTGTTCCCTTCATCTGCGGAACCAGATATTCTCCAGTTTCACTGATTTCGAAGCAATTATAAACATCGGGTTCATCGAAAACACTTGTATCTAGAACGTCAATTTACAAAACTATTAAACTATTGGGTAACATTACACTCTTTCAATACATTGTAGCTGTATGTACGACCTTTCTCTCACCTGCATATTGTTGGTACACCTTTCCTTGTTACTTATTGTTGGTACACCTTTCAGTGTTACTTATTGTTGGTACACCTTTCAGTGTTACTTACTATTGGTACACCTTTCATTGTTACTTATTGTTGGTACACCTTTCATTGTTACTTATTGTTGGTACACCTTTCAGTGTTACTTATTGTACGTACACCTTTCATTGTTACTTATTGTTGGTACACCTTTCAGTGTTACTTATTGTTGGTACACCTTTCAGTGTTACTTATTGTTGGTACACCTTTCAGTGTTACTTATTGTTGGTACACCTTTCAGTGTTACTTATTGTTGGTACACCTTTCAGTGTTACTTATTGTTGGTACACCTTTCAGTGTTACTTTCATTGTTACTATTGGTACACCTTTCAGTGTTACTTATTGTTGGTACACCTTTCATTGTTACTTATTGTTGGTACACCTTTCAGTGTTACTTATTGTACGTACACCTTTCATTGTTACTTATTGTTGGTACACCTTTCATTGTTACTTATTGTTGGTACACCTTTCATTGTTACTAAGGTATCTGTCTGTACACATGCCAGTCTCGCTGACCTGGCGGACACTTACTTGTCATCGTATCCTTATTGTGTAGATAGATGCGCATGTTCTTGATCACAGGAGTGACAGCCAACATCCCGCTGGAATCTAGCTGAGTGCGGCGTTAAACAACAAACAATCAGACCAAACAACTTCTGCTGGTAGTTAGGAAGGGGCTTGGATTTTGTGTTGGAGGATGCAGCTCATGAATGTTGTGAGCCAATTTTTCTTTGTGAAGCACACCTTGCAAAATGAATAACAAAACACTCATCTAATCCCACACTCCACCCCTCTCCACCCAGACTCATGATATCAAATGATCGGTTCCACCTTAATATTAAGTTGACTGGTGTTTCAGTAGAGGTTGAACGTTGTGATAACGCAAGTAATCTGGCCTCTCAGCGTACTGCATTGGGAGCAGCGTTAGGAGTGGCCGTACTGATAATTGTTCTGGCTGGATCCCTGTACATCGTACGGTGAGTACACTCGTCTACTATGATATGCAATGCACTCCTTTAGTTATATCTGGCTTGTCAGCTTAACGGTAGGTTTGACGTGAGATAGGTTTACACATTTACCGCTTTGTGAAGCCTACAAGTAGGGTATTGTGCATGCAAACCTGAAACTTTATTGAAGCGAATCGTGTTTTCAAATCTGTGATGAAAAGGATTTAGGCATGTCTGAGTGTGAGTGAGTGAGTTTAGTTTTACACCGATTTTAGCAATATTCCAGCAATATCTCTGCGGGGAACACCAGAAGTGGGCTTCATACATTGTACCCATGTGGGGAATCGAACACGGATCTTCGCCGTGAGGAGCGAAGGCTTTATCGACTAGGCTACCTCGCCGCTCCTTAGGCATGCCTGAGGGAAGCAGGGTTAATGCCTGAGGGAAGCAGGGTTATTTATCCTGCTTTATCCTGAATTGGTCACCCGTCCTCCCTGTGTTAAGCTGGTCCGACTGTATATGTGTGAAGCGATCGAAATTAAGCTGGAAGTGTTACTATTATGCAGTTACTCTCATTTTACAGGTTGAAGATGTACAAGAAAGCTTTAGAACTGGAACGTGGCACCATGTCCTCGACACCTATCTGGATCAGGGAGCAGTAGAATAACATGAAGATGTGATTTGATCATGAATCCAACACGTTTCATCATCCGAAAACTTAAAACTAAACGTTTGCATTTGATACCCTTGACAATGTCGATTTAACCTAGTTTTCATTAGATTGTTGTATTGTAAAATAGTATATTGATGCGGTCTGTTTTTATATATTGATCTACTAGTACAAGTGTAGATGACTTGCCGATCTACAGTATATGTTCCATAACGCTTTGTCGTACTTGGCGTTTAAGGGAATTCATACCAAACTGACTGCTGCTCTACCTACACTATAGATGAAACATGAGGGGTGATATATATTACTATAAGCGACCCTTTTGTTAATCTAAGTTAACAGGAAACATCGTTGCATAATTACAAATATGCCATTCAGATTCCCCGTCTTCAAGATTACGATAATTACATATATGACATTCAGATCTGAAATTTACGTTAGAATGTGACTTGATCATATGTTCTTACAATCATTCATACTTTGAGCATAACCCGATAAGGATGATTATGACATGGACATCGCTGACAAGAGAATTAGTACTGCTGTTTGCCGGAGTTCCCCATTCTCCAAGATTGCATGTTTTCACGAGTTTAATTTACATGTATTTGTCTTCACGTTCAATAAAGCAGCTGACAATAAAAGACACTTGGTATTTATGTGCTTCCCCTTTTTAATCACGTGTATATTTCCCCGTCCTGTCTCCATGTATCCAAGCCTCGTTGAGACTCAGATCAGATATAGTTCCATGATCGCAACATAAGTGGTCCTCGACGTCTGGAAGGAGGATCCAACCAACAAGGAGGCCGGGAGGCGGATTCATCCAGCCAGGACGTCGGGAGGGAGATCCATCCTGCCAGGACGTCGGGAGGGAGATCCATCCTGCCAGGACGTCGGGAGGGAGATCCATCCTGCCAGGACGTCGGGAGGCGGATCCAACCAACTTGGACGTCGGGAAGCGGATTCGACCAACTGGGACGACGTTAATGCCGCGAATATGTAAAGGGCGCCAATAATCAAGAACTGAATAGTATACAACATACTTACAGCATACTTACATCCACGTCCATGCCTGCACATAAACTCCATAACTTCAGCATATTCGGAATGACTTCCAAGCAGATACCGCTGCATTTAACATATTTTGATCAAATGTCAAATATCTGGGCGGCGTAGAGCGTTGCCATATTTTAACAACACAATAAGTAATTACAACAGAATTTTACATGACATTTAAGTATGTTCGTTTTTGATTGTTACTAAAAAATTCGAAGTGAAAAATTTTCAATAACCACTTCTGAGAGCCGGTTCACTGCGCGTAATGTCAAAACACTACGCAAGTGTAATGAGTGCATATTTAAAACGCGTTTTATTCATGGTGCATATGTCATGGTAGAATGGAGATAATCCTACTGAGTTTACGTTAGCGTGAGGTTTTAAATGAAAAATTTAGCAGTGTTCAACCAAGTGTAATCACTTCCAAAATGTAAACACAATAGGATTATCTCCTAAATAACCTCGCTTGGCAATGGTACCATTACCAACAAACACAGCAACACAAGACATCGGTGAATAAATGATGAGTTTATTAACCAGCCACCGAATAAACGCGATATAATCTTCTCTGGAATATAAGTTTTAGCACGTTACAGTCATTTATGGAAGTACATATATACCAGGAAAAGCAAAGCTCTAAAAGAATTGCAAAAGATACATTAGTCACGATAGGTTTAAAGATACACAAACTAATTATGGAATTAGTAATTATTATTGAATGGAGCATCTCCGACACACTCCTATACATTACCCGAGTGGGCAGTCACACAGCTTCTTTGACAGGCATTTAGAAGATGACAAACTGGTTCGTCGAGTTTTTAGGCCCTGGATTGTCTAACCACCCCTGAGTGATTTCTCCATGGGTCAGTGTGAGCCGTGGAGTCACTGACCCGTAAAATCTGTTTGGGAGAGGCTATTGAAGATCATGGGGGTCTCAAGATGCTTACTAATGAGATTAGATTAATTAAAGGGGTTTATCAATTAAGATATGTCCAAGTGATCTGACAATAAAGAGATTAAAAGCAGTAAGCTTATTTTCAAACACTTAGTAATAAGATTAATGAAAGTTATTCTTCTAATCAGGAAATGCAAGTCAATTAAGTAACTAAATACATGGAGAGGCTAGTTGGAGTATAGATGAACATAAATAGAATTTCGAGTGTAGAGTACTTGTTTGCTATATGAGAGATGTTTAGGCAATTCCTAACAGACTACGTTCAGTATAAAAACCATGTGTCTTGACTTGACCAGTACTTTGATTAATTACGGCGAATGCAATAGTTAAGTTGTCTTTCCTCCCTAGCCTTCATGGCGGAAGATCCCCCACTTCGACACAATGAATGCGGACATCTATGTCGTCAGTATATGATAAAATATATTTATGTATAATTTAGAATAATGATATATATATGCTTTATATATATATGTGTGTGTGGTGATAAGTTGCAGATGGTTGTGCAACTAACTATAATATAAGTACAAATATATGATAAAATATATTTTTATATATTTGTGAATGTTATATGTGTGTGAGATATAAAGGATGACCAGAAATTATTGAGAATTTTAGGAATATGTTTAATTGGATTTCTAGTGTAAACAACCTTGACCAGCTATCAAGTGCTTGGTTTCATTCAAGAGAGGCAACCCCGTTAATCCTTTTTCATTAGTTTGTGAAGAGTTATCCCTCTTTGTTTACTTGCTAGCAGACGACATTTTCAGTGATCCTCAGTATGGATGATTTAGAGAAGAGGAAGTTGAATTTAGAGTATTATAACAAGGACATCAGATCAGCTAAAGTGATTTCAAGTAGAACAGGCATCCCTTTGTCCACAATATGAACAGTGAGCGGTACACAGATATTCTCGAGGGACATTTACTTCCATCTACTCACGTGTTCTATGGAAAATTTTGGATTTTCCAGCAGGAAAAACGACCCAAAACATCGTTCAAAGCATTCACAGGCCTGCTTTCGGACCCAAAACATGACATTATTAGATTGGCCAAGCTATAGCCCTGACCTAAATCCAATAGAAAATGTTTGGGGACTTATGAAGGAAAGTGTCAATAAGAAAAATCTGACAAATATCGCTGAAATGAAAGAAGACGTTTTCCGATATTGGGACAGCATGGACCACGACTTTCTAACTTCTTTGATCAGTAGTATGCCCCGCCGCATTGAAGCCTGCATTGCTGCCCATGGTGACTTGACAAAATCCTAACTAAATTTACAATCTTTAAATTCTCAATAATTTCTGGTTGTGTATGCAAATAAGTACAGTAAAATAATTAATAATAAATATACACGATGAAAGATGTCTTTTTTGTGTGGCAACACCCCTGTTAAGTTTGAAATGCATTGGTCCACATGCCTACTTCATCTAACGAGCAACGTCACTCAACCCTGACTATGCCTGGGTCGTCTAATTGCTACTGTTTACGTGTTTTTAAAATTAGACAGGTTGATACCATTTAGAAACTGGAGCAGTAAGGAAGGATAACAATATATGGCTGAACAACTTCTTTATTCCAGTGAGAGCAAAAGCGCTCAACTTACACAGAAACGCCGCTTCCAGTACAATAATAAAGAAGTTGTTCACCCATATTGTTATCCTTCTGGCAGTGACACAGATAGGCATATACAGTTTACATAGTCATAATACATATTCAAGCAGCGTTGTAAGGTTGAACAGAAATGGAAGTGATCTGTTATTAACAGCAGTACCTGTGAATATTTTAGAAAGAAACCATATATAGTATGACAAGTTCCACAGACACCAACGGTTTGAATGTGTCTGAAACATTAATGATAAACTGTGGAAGGATGACCAGTTGCATGTATGCCACGAATGTATGTTGGACCAATGTGAAATTACAGGCACAGCCTAAAATAGAGCTAAATGTATTGCACCCTGGCTTAAGGGATACTGGTCATCGATTAAGTCCGATGCTGATTATCAATGTGTGACCCTTGGTTCAAGATAGTGGAACATGGTTGGATAGTTTGTATTATTTACAATTCATCAAACGTGAAAGCAAGTGACATTTGTATGATAAGATGTGAAAAAACAAAACTATAGAGATATACAAGACATACAAGTTGCCATACTAAGCAGTAAATGGTTAAAGTTAGTATCTGTGAAAATAAAAGAGAAAAGTTCTAAACTGTTTTGCTAAAGTTTATCAGATTTTTTATCCGTTCAATTGACTTCAGCAAAACCAGGGAAGCTTTTGAAGTATTCTGTATCAGCATTATCGGGCTTGATAATTGGTTGCTGCACTTCTTTGTATTTCTCGAGAGCATCATAGACATGTTTGATTACCTGCCCGTGCACCTGTAGGACAGTAGCATGGGTTTGCCCACGGTCTAACTCATTCATAACCTCGCTATTCGTATTCAGTGCAGTGACAACACCTACGATGGCTTTAGTAAAGAAGCTTGACTGCAGATTATATGATTTCTCGTCGGCAAGTGAAGAAGACCACTGGACAACCTTTACGGGGTCACCCTTTTCTTGAGGACCTTTTCTGATGGTCATACATTCCCACAACCGAGGAACTGCATCTAATTCTTCTTCGTCTCCAACACCCTTTGTTTCTGGAAGTTCATCTCCATCCTTCGCTCCGACATTGGCTCTGCCACTGTAGCACATGTCCAGAATCAACAGAACATGCTTGGCAGGAATTGTCAGCAGCATACGGGCCAGATCTTCATCTTTATAATAGTCCTGAGATGGATCAGCCCTTGTGTCCACCTTAAACTGATGTGTTTTGCTGAAATGACCAGAATAGTAGAAAATGAAGTTGTTATCTTCAGAGTCTTCAAGTTCCTCTTTGAGGTCACCAATAGCCTTTTCTGTTTGCTTCTTAGTTGTTTGTTTTACAGAGCCTGGTTTTGGCCATACTGAGAACACTAGGTCCTCGCTGCAAACATAGAATGATTCATGTATCTCCACGTACATTCAGACAGAAAACACATTAAATTGATGGTCCATCACACCATTTTCTATTGCATTTTCTATGTCTATTTCAACGTTTAATGACCATGACGTTTACTGAAAACTACTGACATTTCCCGTACAATATCCGCCGGAAAAGCTAATAATTCTTAACTCTTAATATTAATATTTTTGAGAACTTATTGATAATGATTGATTTGAATATTTTCAAAATAGACTTGGATGAGTCTTGGATTATCATACTATGGCTGATACTTTAGCTTTTCTATTTATGTTTCTTGCAAATAACTTTAACAAATGCGTCATTCAACCACGAGAGCAGCAACATGTACCTCAGTCCAATCTTCTCACTTGTCAATAATGTCTTCATCAGTTCCACATCTCCCTTATATACTTTTATGTCGGAGGCTGTGCCGGCCCCAGATAAAAGCAGGGCTCCTGTCTTTCCATTGCCTGTAAACAGAATGCAAATATACATACAAAACAAAATAACCTCGTTAGTTATTTCGAATTTCGTGATTCTGTGTCAAGTGTCCAGGATTACTGTCTGCAGTGCATGACCGCTCAGCACTACAGTTTTTATGCGAATACAACCATGATATTTATCATTCGGTGGAGATGTTTTCAGTTGCAGCTATGTCATTGTCACCTCGGTAGGAAGTATGATGTCAATGCTGCTGTTATCATCGGTATAATCTGATCTTATGCGTTGGTCAGGACTGTGTTGTGGTTTTACCCGAAAAGCTGTATTTATGTTTATATGTTTTCGGATTTTGTTGGGTTTTTTTTCTAGAGTTTATATCTACTTACCAAAGGTGAGTTGATCAACCTTACGCTCCAAACCTAATGGAACAAAACAATATATTCAGTAGTTGATATCAATGTTTGTGAATCCACATAGCACTAAGATAATAGCAAAACGTAAATCATACCATTTTTATCACGTTTTGCTTAAAACCTTAATTCACTCAGTATTATACGTATTGGTAGATTAAATTGCCCCATACTCCAATAGGCATCGAACCACTTGATAGTTACTTCACCTTATTCGATATACACTGTCTAAATTGAGAAACTCACATCAAAATGTAATCAACAATAGGTTGTTCAAATATATAATTTGTTGTTAACGTTTACATGTATGTCAGTGTGTCGTTTCTTTTTGAGTTTATTCAAATTGTAGCATTTGTTATATTGTGGCAACAGAACAAACCTTGACCCCGTCCTGATGGTTCACCTTGTTCAGCGGCAGCGGCAGCCGCAGCAGCAGATGAAGTCACTGAAAATGAATCATTACAGGGAATGAAGCAGTCTCTACTCTATGTATAGGGGCGGTGGGGTAGCATGGTGGTGAAAGCGTCCCGAAGACCCAGGTTCGATTTCCCTCATGGATGCAATGTGTGAAGTCATTTCTGGTGTCCCCCGCCTCGATATTGCTATAATATCGCTAAAGTGGCGTAAAACCATACTCACTCATTCGCTCCGTATGTATGTTTGGCATACGGCAAGGCTCAAATAAGCTGCTTAGTACAGATATTTCGTCTACAATATTTTATCTCGTTTCTTGTTTTACTTAGCGTGATAGGTATAGCAGAGACCAACCATTATTTGGAATGAATGCAATGCCCTATCGTACATAGTGTATTGTATATCTGTTGTTTCTGGTTGTTTACGCTCAGTAACTGACCGATATTGTGGTGCATTGTTGCAGCCGTTGTTCCACCTCCTCTGGTTATCCCCCCAGTCTGTGCTGCTTCAAAGTATGTAGCATCTACAAGAAATAAGACACAATCGTATTACTGATACCATTACGTGTCACAAATGACTAATGGTTAAATCCGTGAACACTATTATTACAGAACGAAAATCGCACCTCAAGTAAGATTTATAATCCTCTTTGATCACGCGTTGATGCCATAAATACGCTTTTATATGTGCATAAATGCCTGTTTGTATATGTTTTACCGTCTGTCATAACCAAATGTGAGTCTCGCTGTCCTTCCTGCACCAAGGCTTATGTCTATATATATAATTATTCTTTTCAAGATGAAGAGCGGTGAGACGCAAATAAAATATGTCTGTCACACGATGGGTTACCTATTCATTGTTATAAAGGATCAATTTACATCACGACGGGTATAAGTGGGAAAACATGTCATAATCAACCCATTTTTGTGATATCGTATGAGAGTGTGAAAAGGTACGTCAGCCATCGATATTGTAGAATACTATCTATTAATGTGAATATACTGAACATCATTGAAAACGCACCACCTGTATTAGTTTGGATTTCCAAGAGCATAAATGAGCAATCGGTGTAATTTTTACATACATTTGTAGTCCAATGATTGGTAAAGAAAAGAAACAAGAACCAATCCAACAAAACAGTGAAGTTTTAATTCAGCTGACCATGAAAGAAAGATGGAGTCAAATTTGAAAGTCAGTAACGTATATAACCACCGTTAGCAGCAACACAAGGTCTGCAACGTCTCCTCATTGAACTGATAAGTCTCTGAATAATGTTTTGAGGCAATGCATTCCACTCTTGTTGGAAGGCATTCTCAAGTTCCCTAAGATTGTTGATCTGTGGGGGACGTGAGAGGCGTGGGCCGATGTAATCCCACAAGTGTTCAATGGGAGACAAATCTGGTGATAATGCAGGCCATGGAAGTAGAGGAATGTTGTTGTTTGCCAGAAACTGTGTTGCAACACGTGCAGTGTGCGCTCGAGCATTGACCTGCTGGAATGTGTGCAGCTATTGATGTTTGTTAAAGAAGGGAACGACGATGTTCTGAAGAATGGTGTCACGGTAGTAAAGGGCATTCACTCTGCCACGACAAACTACCAGAGCGGTTTTGTGATGATAACTGATCCCCCCCCCCCCCCACACACACACACACACACACACCATAATGCTTCCTTCACCCCACCGATCTGTTTGCACAACACAGTCCTGACGGTAACGTTATCCCCGTCGAGGCCCGTCAGCATTTCGCAAGTGAAAATGTGACTCGTCGGAGAACACAACACCATGCCAACGTCGTAACAACCACAAACGATGCTGTTCAGCCCATCGTCGGCATTCACGGCGATGTCTATCAGTCAGGATGGGTCCCACATAAGGGCGTCGACACCGTAATCCTGCTGCACGGAGACGGCGTCGGACGGTGGAACCACTGATCAAACCACGTCGGCCTTCGACAGCGTTGGCGGTTCTGGCAGCCGGCAACGTACGATCCCGAATATGGCGCCGAGCAATGTCCCGATCTTGGCGAGGGGTGGTAACACGTGCTTGGCCAGGACGTTGGCGGTCCCTGGTGGCTCCTGTTTGTTGGTACCTGTTGGTTCCTGTTTGTTGGTACATGTTGGCAAGTCTTATGATGGTGGAATGATGGCAAACAAATCGTCTGGCAATAATCCTGCTTGATGTGTCAACCTGCAACATGTCCAACGCCCGTTCTCGTTCCTCTGGTGACAATCTTGGCATTGCAAAATAAACTTTACTTGCGGAGGTACAACTAAAATGAGAACGTTTTTTTGCCGACGGTCATTTATACCCCTAATCAGCATGTTTTACGCATGCAATTTGTGCTTTTCGTGTGTGTTGTGCATGAATTTTGTTGTTGTCATATGATGTGTTCCATGATGTGTTCAGGCAATCCTTTCTTTACTGTTCAGCATTATTTATGTCTTTTGTGTTATTAACAATATTTCCAACGTTCATTTTCACTTTCAAAAAAATCCTATTACCATATTTACAGGTGGTGCGATTTCAATGATGTTTAGTATATATACTGTTGTACCCCTCGACGCATACACGCGAGTGTATTGTACGTGCACTTACCTTCACCTAAAGTAGTTTGCCCTCCCAATGCAGCTATGACGGTACTGCCATCATTTATCCCACCTGCTTGGCCAATCTTTACAATCTTTGGACCAGACGAAGCTGAATTGGGGAGAAGCACTAGGAGTATTTTTAATATCTATAGTAACACCAGTAACAATCGCATTGATGGGAGAGAAATTAATGAAAAAAAATGTACATGACAAACAATAATTACAGAAATGTGTTCTAAATCATGGACTTATATTGTTAATGAACTTAGAACATGTAATTATGTCACTAAGCAATACAAACCATTATTGCAGACTGCAGACATGATCTTGTGGATTTCTGCCCCATCCCGCTGACCACCTGTGTCACATACAAACCTGTGTCACATACAAACACATGCAAACACATGAGGCAATAGCATTCACAATATACCTAAAAGAATTCACCAGTGTAACAGAGAGATCCCAAATATACTTCAAACTGATTAGGCGAAGAAATAGGGAGATCTTGGATATACTTCAAACTGATTAGGTGATACAAAATGGAGATGCCGCATATGCTTCAAACTAATTAACCGATGAAATAAGGAGATTCGGAATACTTGAATGTTGTAGAGGTGGGGTGGGGTGGGGTGGGGGTGATAGTCTGTTTTGACAGGTGTCCTACTTAATTTGATGAGTGTGTTTAATGAGTTTTAATCCCTCTCACGTGACCTCATACGTGGGTTGCTAGGTGGCCTAATGGAAAAAAACCATTCTTATCAGTTCGTGACACGCATAAGGGGCATGACATGATAATGATGGGGTTTTTCCATTAGGTCACCTATCAACCCACGTATGAGGTCACGTGAGAGGGATTAAAACGCATTAACCACACTCATCAAATTTAGTAGGTCACTTGTCAAAAAAGGACTATGGATAACAACTTTTATGGATAACAACTTCTTTTCCTTTGTGAGTGCAACGTTTCGATACAGATTCTTGTACCGCTGTACCTGCCTGACAGCGGTACAAGAATTAAAGCATCGCACTCACAAAAGAAAAGAAGTTGTCATCCATAAATACTATTTGCCATTGTTTTTATTCCATACATCTAAACAGCCACTCAAAGAAGAGATCCCGAATATGTTTCAAACTTATAAGGCAATAAAATACTAGATTCTGAACAGGATTGGTCTGTTGAAATTTAATTGTGGTGAGTGCCATCAGCGGAGCAGGATACGCACACATTTTCGAGAACACCTTGTATCATCAGTGTTTGATACTGATAAATAAACACATATATTTCATGAGGTAGTCGGAGGTATACCAGGGACATAGCTCAAGGTTTCTCCTGACTTTGTTGCTGTTGAGTTGATTATGGAAATGGTTTTGTATGTTATATATGCTAGCGTCTCAAACATCTTAAAGTGTGGAATAAGAACTCCTGAATGATGAATCCTTCCTCCCGAAATACAACACCCGACGTTGTCAGCATTTGTAATGTAATACAATTTATACTCCTATCTGAACAGAGATAGAGGTCAGCAAATATGTGTACAAATATCATATATCTCCCTCTCCTCCACCCACTCTCTCTCTCTCTCTCTCTCTCTCTCTCTCTCTCTCTCTCTCTCTCTCTCTCTCTCTCTCTCTCTCTCTCTCTCTCTCTCTCTCTCTCTCTCTCTCTCACACACACACACACACACATTGGCATGGATCTGACCCTATAAATTGGAGACTGTTTTCACCTGTACCGGACATAAGTCATTAGTGGCTGTGATGTTAAGCAATATCCATTTAAAAGCGATATTAGAAACTTTACACAAATGCAGCTAGTTCAGTTGACTGTAACATATCATATATACGGCTTTTTGATGACGAGTCTGTTTAAATAACATCTAGCAAAATCAGTTATAAACGTCGTTAAAAAACTTAATGTATTTCTTGATATAACACCAACAAGCCTTTCAGTAAACATGTTACTTATTCTCTTTGTAATAAGATCAAAACAGACGTCCAGTTTATACTCAGTTTAGAAGTTCTACATGTTTGTAGACGATACCTGTTGACTGTGAGTCTGCATCTGTCATTTTCCTCTTTTTGCTTGCCATTATGTTTTAATCTTCAGACACTCTGGATGACTCTGATCTCCTTCAACCTGCAGAACGTAAAAACCACAGACATTAACCTTTGTGAAAAAATCAGATACCATCACAAATTAATCTGACTATTGACAAGTCTTGCTCGTTAGACCCGTCGCAAACACTGTCCCTGTAATCCTACACCACATATATCCGTAAACAATGAAATGCATACTATTAGTCTAACATTGAAAACTGTAACTGTGATAAAATCGCAATTGCAATTCATATAATTTCATCTGTATGACGGTGAAACCTAAAACCGTGATGGTGACATGTTCTGTATTCATAGCATGTACAGTAATACTGATGTTAGGCCGTGGGCGGAACCCCAAAATTGTGTCAAAGTGCTTCAACATATCTGGTGAATACAAAGTTAGGGTTTTATAATCAAGTTCGTTATTTATAAAGCCTATTAAAAACTTTTCTTGTTAAATCACGTGCACATTAATTATTTAGAAGCCTTAGAATGGAAAATTCTAAAGCAGTGAATCACCATGGTTTCAAGGCATTTTTGACCAATCAGGATACAGGAAGCAGCTATTTTGTGCGGTACTACAACATGGCCGCGGCCATGGCTTGGGAATGTTTATGTTCCATTACTAACAATAAAATCTGTGATTTAGGTCCATTTACGGATATAACAAGGCCAAAAGTGAGTGAATGTGTTGCAAAATGGAAAGAACTAGATGGCATTGAAACATCTGTAGTTGAGAAAGTTTGTACAGCTTCTAAAGGCACAGCTAAGTTCCATCTGAAGTGTTACCAAACATTCACCGATAAGAATAGCATTGAGAGAGCTTTGAAACAAAAAGACAAGGGTTGTTTGCATAAAGGTGAGGTAGATTCTCCTTTTAAACACTTGTTGTATTATGTTGCACTTTTGGCATTCATGCCTTAAATGGTAGATTAGATAATGATTTATGTTGCCAATCATATGCTTTGCTTTGGTTGCTGTGACTACAGGTTCTTCTTCATTATTTCCTTTCATCACACAGTTTATTGTAGGCACACTAGATAACTCATGTCATTCACATTCTAGCTCCCCACACTGCTCATTCAAACACATTTACCTCTAACAGTAATACACAGGAGGGTAAAAAGGACAAATGGACAAAATACATGTGGTTCTAGGATGAACACAGTGCATTCATTACAAACTTTAGGTCACACTTTCACACTTGGTAACACTTTTTTCAGAAAGCAGCTGATCACACACAAAAACCATATGATGCTACATTTGCTTCAACAAATAAGAACACAACCACCTTGATGGGATCAGGAATTAGAAAACATAAAACATGACAATTATGCAGCGCTCAGAGCTCATAGAGATCACAATGCAGATTTTAATATCTTCAGACAGTTACAAACACTCTTCAAATGTACATTCAAACAAAAATGAGTACTGTTCTAAAACAAACAGAAAGATAAATTAGTAGCAGCAAGAACTAACTCTAAATTATTTCAGAAAACACTTTCAACCAATATCACAATCATGTCAACAATAGATAGATCACTTCTCAAATCCTTTACGCATTAATACTCCTCAAAATACACAAGAACATTTACCTCCACCTTTACAACCTACAAGCAACACATTCTTTTTTAAATAAATCTTTTCCAAACAAGAAATATCTACAGCTATTCTCTCTTTGCTAAATATTAAAGCCCCGGGTCCATATGGAATTGCACATGGATTTCTAAAGGAGTCGAGACGTTTCATTGTCCCTACTCTCACTGATTTTTTAAATAAAAATTATGACTTTGGCTATTTCCATCCCATTTGGGGTAAGGGCATTCTTGCCCTTTGTTACAATCTGGCGACAAGAACGTCCACCGACAATTACTGTGGTATATCTTTGATTTACTCTCTTTGTAAATTATTTACATCAATTCTAAATAAAACATTAAAATTTGGTGCGATTTAATTTATTTTAAATAATATCATGTGTGAATATCAGGCTGGTTTCAGGGAAAACTATTTTACAATGGACCACGTTTTCACACTTCAGGCTATGGTACAGAAATATTCATGTAAGAAACAGGGTAGATTTTATTGATTTTTCAAAAGCTTTCAAGACACTTAAACATGATGAACCTTTACATCTTGTCCGTAAGGTTGGGGGACGGTGGGGTAACCAAGAAGTTAAAGCTTTGGCTCGTCACGACAAAGACCTGGGTTCGAATCCCCACATGGGTACAATACGTGAAGCCCATTTCTGGTGTTCCCCGCCGTGATATTGCCGGAATATTGCTAAAAGCGGCGTAAAACTACACTCACCATCACCGTAAGGTTGGGTTAAATGGGAAGTTTTAAAATATTATTACTTGTATGTATCATTCACTTTATGCCTGTGTTAGAACCCTTGAAGGACTTTCTAAACAATTTTCTTGTAATGTGGGTCCCCGTCAGGGACCTTATGTTTGCTAATGATGTTTCGGCTCTTTCAGACATGCATATTCAACTGCAGAAAATTTGATGAATGCCCTTGAATTATTTTGTAATGAAATAGGAATGAAAGTAAATCCATAAGGAAACTTAAGTTGTTGTTTTTAGAAAAGGAGGGCCTATATTTTATGAAAAGTGGTATTTTAATGGGGAACAATTGGAAACTGTATCTTTTTATAAATGTATTTGTCCCGGGGCACAACTATCTTTAGCATCTCCAGCCAGAAAGGCAATTTTATCAGTTAATCATCTTCAAAAGAAATTTGGAAACATTAATTGTACAGATGTATTCAAATAAATGTATTCACTAAACTTTGAAGAGCATTTAGAAGTGGAATGCATAAGAAAAGCAAGATTTATCGATGACAATTTCTTTATTGTGAATAACTCCTTCATCAGGTAAATTTATTCACTGATCACACCAGTTTTAAGCTATGGCTCAGGAATATGGGAAACTTCTTATTGTAAAAGTATTGGATCTCTACAGCTTGTTTTTGTAAAAATAAGTATCTAAAAATAAATAGGTTATATTGTAAT